AACTCTTTACTGTTAACACTTGCCTATACGCAGGTGAAAAGAACTCTTTACTGTTAAACTCTTTACTGTTAACACTTGCCTATACGCAGGTGAAAGGGAGAAACTCTTTACTGTTAACACTTGCCTATACGCAGGTGAAGAATAGAAACTCTTTACTGTTAACACTTGCCTATACGCAGGTGAAGAATAGAAACTCTTTACTGTTAACACTTGCCTATACGCAGGTTAACACTTGCCTATACGCAGGTGAAGAATAGAAACTCTTTACTGTTAACACTTGCCTATACGCAGGTGAAGAATAGAAACTCTTTACTGTTAACACTTGCCTATACGCAGGTGAAGAATAGAAACTCTTTACTGTTAACACTTGCCTATACGCAGGTGAAGAATAGAAACTCTTTACTGTTAACACTTGCCTATACGCAGGTGAAAGGGAGAAACTCTTTACTGTTAACACTTGCCTATACGCAATAGAAACTCTTTACTGTTAACACTTGCCTATACGCAGGTGAAAGGGAGAAACTCTTTACTGTTAACACTTGCCTATACGCAGGTGAAAGGGAGAAACTCTTTACTGTTAACACTTGCCTATACGCAGGTGAAAGAAAGAAACTCTTTACTGTTAACACTTGCCTATACGCAGGTGAAGAATATAAACTCTTTACTGTCAACACTTGCCTATACGCAGGTGAAAGGGAGAAACTGTTTACTGTTAACACTTGCCTATATGCAGGTGAAGAATAGAAACTCTTTACTGTTAACACTTGCCTATACGCAGGTGAAGAATAGAAACTCTTTACTGTTAACACTTGCCTATACGCAGGTGAAGAATAGAAACTCTTTACTGTTAACACTTGCCTATACGCAGGTGAAGCCTATAATAGAAACTCTTTACTGTTAACACTTGCCTATACGCAGGTGAAAGGGAGAAACTCTTTACTGTTAACACTTGCCTATACGCTGGTGAAGAATAGAAACTATTTACTGTTAACACTTGCCTTTACGCAGGTGAAGAATAGAAACTCTTTACTGTTAACACTTGCCTATACGCAGGTGAAAGGAGAAACTCTTTACTGTTAACACTTGCCTATACGCAGGTGAAAGGGAGAAACTCTTTACTGTTAACACTTGCCTATACGCAGGTGAAGAATAGAAACTCTTTACTGTTAACACTTGCCTATACGCAGGTGAAGAATAGAAACTCTTCACTGTAAACACTTGCCTATACGCAGGTGAAAGGGAGAAACTCTTTACTGGTAACACTTGCCTATACGCAGGTGAAGAATAGAAATCTAACTTTCAAATATGCTTACATCACTGAAAAACAGGAACCATCTTACCGAAAATTCTGGCATGAACGGCCATAGTGATGGGAGTAGGAACTAAGGCTTAAACCTTCGAGTAACTAGCGCTATCAGTGTGTATCTGGCAGAGTTTTACAAGTGCATGTCACATTGCCTCGCTTTATACAGGTTGATATAAAAAACTGGTATAGGGTTATAGCATAACAAAACCCAGTAACATGTAATTATTGTCATTATCTACAGTAAATGTCACAACAGGAAGTGCTTCACTGTTCGTAATAAATGATACCATATCAGAACATAGTAGTCGTTCGCCAAGAGTTACGTCCCCTTCACATCTCCGTCGTAACAGGCTTCCCATTAGAAAGATACGACATTTGGCATGTTTTTATTAAAGTTAAGGTACAAATGGTTGTTGCTACATCTATTACATTTCGTGACAACGACACAAGGATGTTTTATGCATGCTCCAGTAGTTATAATGAAAAGCAATCAAAGGAAACATCCGTAAAATTACTCGAGTTCATCTTGCAGCTTGCTGCTATTACAACGTGAAACACCGTGGCGGACGAACGGGTTTCCCCAAGTTCAATATAGGTTACTATAAATATTTATCCAATAAGCTATTACGCTCGATATGACGCATTAGGGATTTAATCCCATCTGTCAAATGAAATTGGTCAACAGAAAATCTATTTTAAGCCCGTAATTACCGGCATGACGATGCAGTGTTGATGCAAATAGACGCCTTCAGAAATAGTTCCGGGCCAAGGAAAAACGGACCAATGACAACAAAATTGAAACAGTAACTTTATTAACAACAATAAATTGACATTCCTTGTCAAATAAAGCATATATCAAAACTAGATATACATATATCCATTATCAAAAGCCATCACTCCACAACTATTTTTTTATTTAAAACGAAGTCAGAAACACTTGCATATTTATATGTAGCCACAATGGCTTGTCTAGATAATTAAGATAATAAAAATAATTTCGAAAAGTCCCTGTGATTTTGCTACTTCTGGTTATTAATTTTGTAAATATGCTTTTTTTCTCACATGATGTACAAAATATTGCCCCATTAGGATATTCTGACAAGGTGAAGTTAACGACGCCATCAAAAGACCATGGCTGCAATAGTAATAATGGTATTGACTTATCTGCAAATAAATTGGCAACCATACAACTTAATGCTAGAATCACTGTAATTCCTCCACCAGTATGAGTGATTTACATTATTCTGATAGTGTAACAAACAAGCTCTGTCCCGTCAGTTTATCCTAATAGGGATCTATGAAGGTATAATGGAATGCTGACAATGTTCATATATTGAACAATCATTTTAATTTGTCACATGAAAAAAACAAAAAACAAAAACAAGAGCCTGTTTCAGGTCACGAAATACGCCTGTGATTTTGTCTGACTATCACCTACACTATTTATGCTGTATATAATATATTGCATTTGTTTCAATGGTAATTGCGTAATACTTTGCAAAGTTATTGCACCGACATTGAAAAGGTTACAGACATTAATGGGCCGTAACTCTAAAAGTTGTGGATCAAAAATCATGGAAATCAAACTCAATCTAGCTTTGATTGTACTTAAGCTTGCAATGAAAGTTAAAAGAAATCTGTTAAGGCTTAATAAATTCCAAAATCGCTGGGACATTGAAATGTTTACGAACAGAGGGACATACGGACGGAAGATGGACGGATGGAAGACGAGAATACCATAATATGTCCTGTCATTTGACGGATGTATAAAATACATAAATATCAAACAAAAAAAAGAAGTAAATAAATGTAAAGATCATAAATCTAAAATAATAAGCAAAATCACTTGAGGTACGCATATTGTGCATAAAAATACATTGAAAAATTAATTTAAGATTAGAAACAAGAGGCCCATGGGCCTTATCGGTCACCTTAGAATCAATCACTTCACAAGCAATGGTAAGAACTGACAGTATTTCTGATATTGATTTACATTTATTATTAACAGCTAATAGTTGTCTGCTGTTTAAAGAATTATAAAAAAAATCATCACATGTTTTGTTTTTTATTTGTCTATTTCATTATATCTAGGAACATTTATCTTATAGTGATATAGTGACAGCTGTCAGTTGCTCACTTATTATGAGTCCATACTAGTTTATGGAGAAATTACTGAAATTAGCATGTCTATGTGTGCTTGATGATGAAGATAATGATGTTGACTGTGTCTAAGAATCTGCAGCATCCTTATGCATGGAAGTTAAAGTGTGTGAAGAAGCTGATAATGAGGATGTGTGATGCTGCTGTGTGATGCTGCTGATGTTGATATATATGATGATGTTGAGGTGTGACGATGCTGATTTGGTATGTGATAATGCGGATGTGTAATGCTGCTGAAGTGTGATGATGCTAATGTTGATAGGTGACCATAATGATGCTGATGGTATGTGATGATGCTAATGTGTGACGAGGATGATGATTGTATATGATGACGTTGATGTCAGATGCTGATGTTGTTTGTATATGTAACAATGCTGGAGTGCTAGTATGGCTGCAAGTTATAAATATATGTTTAGAGTGATTGTGTTACATAGTGTCTATGATAGTTAAGATATAGTGTGCAACTCAAAATGCTGTGTGTTTAGTGGTGAAAATGATGCATGACTATACTCTGTAAGTGTGTGACGATGGGAGTTATAGACTGATAGTATATATGAATCTATTTATTCCTCATGTGTTTTTCGATAAATAAAAAATAAACAAATATATATAAATAAATAAAAATAAAATTGATATTATCCCTGTTAATAATTAACATTTAAAATTACTTTTGCTAAATGATTCTCTTGGCATGTTTAAATGGGTTAAAATTTCCCTTGCACCGGTTGCAGTGCGCTTCCATAAAATTCTACAACGATACTACGCGATCTCTAAAAACTACAGCTCAAGCACCATTTCATCAATTAAATAATATTAATATAATACAAAAAGAACTATTACTTACGCACAAGAACTCACCACAGTTCCCCTGTAAGCAATTTCTTTCCGTGAGGTGCGCGTAATACCCGCTATGCTTACATAAAAATAAAATCAAGTAGGAAAGCTCCGTGCGGGGAGGTAACTCTGCACGAACGTCAAAAATATTCTGATATGATCCTAAAAATATAAGCATAACACAAAATGAAAGGTTTTCTCGTAATGTGTTATGATTTCTCGAAGTGTTCTCGTAATGTGTTATGATTTATCGATGTGTTCTCGTGATGTGTTATGATTTCGCGAAGCTAGTGTTATCTTAATGTGTTATGATTTATCAAAGTGTTCACGTGATGTGTTTTTTTTTTGTTTTTGCTTGATTTCTCGAAGTGTTCTCGTGATGTGTTATGATTTCTCGATGTGTTCTCGTGATGTGTTATGATTGTCGAAGTGTTCTCGTGATGTGTTATGATTTCTCGAATATCATGGTATCTACCACTTTCGATATTCATCTGTAAGCTAATTTTGTAATATCCACTGAATCTCACATATGACTTAAGACGAGTACATAGTAAAAACGTGCCGAGCGTTGATTCATCTTGTATGGGACGAAGTTTACTTTTGGTCAAAAACATCACGGAAAAATACAAATAAATGACTTGAGCAAGACTACAGTGAACGTCGGCGCATGTCACTGGAAAGAGACCAGGAAATAAATGCACAACGTTACGTTCAGTCCGGCTATTATTGACTACCGTGGTACAAGTACGAAAATCTGCAGGTGACTTGGACGTTCTGTGAGTAAAAGGGTGTAGGAATATAGTTTCAGGAATTAACATTCTGGTATTTCATTTTAAGCTTCGCTGTTTGACCTACATTATGTAGATCGAGTTGAACCTATTACTGTCGTTTCAAGCGTGCACAGTGTACACGAATTACGAAATGTGTAGCAATATAACGCATCGATTGAATATTTTCATGTGAAAAACAATTCAATTTACCTGTAGGTGTGTTCTAATTGTGATCTACTTAGAACTAGTCTAGATATGTGGCGATTAAACGGGGTCATCCGACATCGAGAACTTGGACAAAAGTGAAAGTACAAATTAACGGAAAATAGTTCAGCGTATCTTTTATATATTGTGCCTCAATTTGCTAGTATTTTAAAGTCAGATGTACATATTGCATTCGTCTCATGTTTTCAAACTTGTTTCATGAAGCTTCACGGTTGATATATATGCGTATAGTACGATCGCTACTGACAGCACGTACAGTGGTTAGAAACGGATTTGTATAAAATGTGAAAGACGAGTTATGCAAACAACAGCAATCTTTATACTATTTTAAACACATGGTTACAATCCGATGCTGTGGTTACGACGTATAATGGGTGTGATTTTGACTATCGGTCTAGTGCAAGTTGTAAACTATGTAAACTGTTATAGTTACCTCCCTTTAACCATCAATCATAAAAATGATGGTTATACTTGTATTTTAGGTGCTAACTTGAATTGACACATTGTGCATTTTACCAACTTAAAATCTATTTTACAAAGTGAAAAAAATGTTATATCCACGTTTACAGCATTTGATTTGCTATGACTCATAGGCAAGTTAATATAAACATGTTTCATTCGAAGTTTTTGCTAGTGAAAAATAAAGACATTTACTACTTTTTTGCCAATGAAGTATAGAGAAATATCACATTGATAAAAGTGTGACTTTCACCAGTGAAAAATGGCACTTTTGCGGACTTACTGTACAACAATAAAAAAAAAGTTAAATAGAGACCTAGAGACTTTAAATTGACTTTGTCAAAAACTTTGTTGATTAATTCTAATCCTGGAAATCCACTGATATCGAAGAATACTTAGACTTAGAATTTGATGGGACAGTTTTAAATTTTACAGATTATCATGAACATTTAGGTATAACCTTTAATTCGCATGCAAAGTTTTGGGATCATGTAAATGAAATTTACACTTCGGTTTAGAAAAAAAAATCAATGTCTTAAGGAAATTGAAACACTTATTAAGTAGGGATGCTCTTTCAAAAATTTATAAGACTTTTTATCTGTTTTAGAATATGCTTGTGAGTTGTTGGACGGTTGCAGTGTGTTTGAATCAGAAAAGTTAGAAAAAGCCCAACGTGAAGCGGTTCTCATTATATTAGGACTGCCGTCATATTCCCTTATTAATACTTTATACTACGAAACGGGTCTTAAAACCCTATCTTATCGCAGAAAAAATTGGAAACTTCAACTAATGTATAAGATGCATAATAAATTAACTCCTGAATACCTCAATCATCTTTTGCCGCCCTTATCTGACGAAAATGATCGTTACTAATTACGTAACATTGGTAACGGTAGGATTCCTCATTTTAGACTGTCTCTAACTAATTCAACTTTTCTACCTTCTACTCTTTACTGATGGAATAACTTAGAAAATTCGGTTCGATCCCAACCCACTATTAATTAATTCAAATCTTGTTTAACATCAAGTAATCGGTCAAAGCCACCAATTTACTATAAAATTGGAAATAGCAAACTTAATAATATATTGCATACAAAGACCCGATACCATTGCAGTTCCCTTAATTATTACTCTTTTTAGAGTTAACCTCGTCGAGAATGCGTCTTGTGAATGTGGTCATCCTTGTGAGAATGTCTTTCACTATTTTATTGAATGTCAACGTTTTTCGAACGAAAGACGTATTTTAGTTCAAAATTTAAATAATTAGAACGTTGCATTAGATATAGAAATTCTTTTGTTTGGCAATTCTCAATTTTCCATGGACCTTAATTCAAACATTTAAAAATAATTTCAAAACTATATTAAATCCAGCAAGAGGTTTTAATGCCAATGTGTATCAGTCATTGTATATTTGTATTGTCATGATTGTAATGTCATTTAAAATGTATATTGGGAGAAGGCGTTGATAAGTTGCAATAACTTGTGCCTAATCCTTTGTCTTTCTTTTGGCAATACATATATTTAAACTATAAAACAATAAAAAGAGGGAACAAAACGTTATCTTATAAAATTGACCAATCATAAAGCTCATTACAACATCCCCTCCAAAACCCACCCACACAACCAGAAACCAGAAGTCTGAAGGGGTGGTTTATGCATTAATTTATTTGCATAACGGACTGTGGACTCCCGAACCATCATAAAAAAAGGCGATTGATAGAAACTTACATGACCTTCACAATATCCCTTCAAGCATTCATAAGAACTTAAAATAAATAAGGAAGTTGAAAACATTAATACAACATATACATTAATTGGTTCTCAATAAAACCTAAAATATCCGATTAGGATAAAAATACGTTCGATTTCCTGTACATCGAATTTCCGGTGTAAAGGACACCCTAGCGGAAGGAAGTTTTACTAATGTAAGTCGGTCCTTACCCAGAGCTGCCATCACTGGCTCTTGTGAGACTTACCTAGTGTGGCGCGCATTTATTGACTTTTCGACAAGTTTTGTAGTTTTGTACCCAGGATATCTAGTTTAAAAAAAATACGAAAAATACGAAAAACACAAAATAGTTTTTTATGACTTAAAAACCTACATAGTAGTTATCACAGTTTGCTCTCGCTCTAAAGTTGGTCTAAGTGATGCATAATTATCGATTGTAAAGCTAATATGTCGTGCTCTATTTCCAGAGGACCATTATGCCAATAGCACACAAGGACGCGGAAAAAATACGAGCTCATATGGACTACATTATTGATAATTTTGATGTAACAGAATTTCAGAGTAAATTGGTAGGACAAGGACTGAAGCTTCCTGATGTTGACGTGCTTAATCGGGAGAAAGTGATTCGTGAGAAAAACAGAAAATGTCTTAAATATCTAATTAATTCTGAAAATGCAGATTATCAAGTGTTAATTGATCTTCTGAGGAGGCATAATTATACCGAAGTTGTGGCAAAACTCGAAAGTGGACTGCAACCCGAGAAAGCAACGTGTAAAGGTGAGTAATTCTTAAATTGGTCAAAAGTTTCCCTCGTCTCTTAGTTAAAAAATACAGAAAAAAAACTGTGTTATCAAAAAGAAAAAAAAATGACGAAAAGGTTTTGCTGGAAAAAACATACACATACACACAAAACTGACTGAAAATCTGGATGTGCATATTACAAGAATATGTTTTTAATTACTTATTGTGTTCGTTTCTTTGGCTAGTTTGAATAAGATATGCGTAAAAACGGAAAATTGGACATCATGTCTTATTGCTAAATATGATACAGTAAGATCCAGATAAATATGATTTATTCTATGTCATTAAGCTATCTTTTACGCAAATTAAATGCAAACTATACTTTTTTAGCAGGCAGTACAGTTCCAAGTATCCATGTACCGGAAAACAAACGCCATATATGTCTGACTGAGAAACACCTGGTGCGCTTGTTCAAACCAGTTTCTGTTAAGGACAAGCTAGCGTGGGCTACCTGTTTAGGTGTACCGCAGCGGGAAGTAGAAGCCATAGAAATGGACAATCGGTTCAGCACCGACACACAAATGTTCAAAATTTTGATTTGTTGGAGGAAAAGACCCGATTGCACACTTGGTGTACTTATGGACTTATACAATTACTCGGTGGAAAATGGCGTAGAAATAGACACAGAAGCTTTGCAAGGTATTATTGATAACATACGTTAGCAGGATAACAGACAAAGTATTGATGATTGGTCGCTGGTATTGGAGAGCGCGGTCCTCGTTTCTCATGGATTCCATGTTCATGTCTTTTATCACTGTACATAAACAAACAAAATCAATCAATCAATAAATGAATAAAAACGGGGAATTCCCTCGCACCAAACAACCACTTTGACTTTTAGAAAATGTTTCGAATGTTTGTTTGAATTCTGGAGGTCAATAAGTGTTTAACAGCCAGTTTGAACCCTAGTTGTATAAAAAAAACCCATTTATTATGAAGTATGACCTTCAAAGGTAACTTAGACCTACAAATGCATGTCTGGAAATTCTTTCTAGAATGCTGCCGGTGTCAAAGAAAATACTGTGACCGTGAAATACCGTGTTGAGTCTTTACTTAAGTCTTACGAGCTTGCATGATGGATGCCCTGTATAAAATTGCTTATGGAATTCCGATGTTGATGTTAAAATGTTTGATTTCTTGTTTGATGTATTTCGAACGTAGATCTAGCCATAGAAATTTCAATATGTTCGAGTAAATGGTGTTATTTTTAAATCACTTTATCCAACTTAATATTATATTCAAGTCTCAAATAAAATTTATCAACAAAGCTGTTGTAAGCATCAAATGTGCAATACTTAATCATTTTACCTTCCATGGGTAAAATAAAGAACCGACTGTAAAAGACGATAGACCCTTCTGTCGTAAAATAGTGTGAACGTCTGTAAATACTGCGACCTTCCCACTGCAATTATGAGCAGCATTGTAAAATAATTGATACTCCATCTTTACAGAATGTAAAGTTCCCATTTCTGAATATAATACTGTGTCACTACTTATGTGAAAATGTGATCGTCAATCTACATAATACGCCAACCCTGACATTATAGCACTACGCGACGTCCTCTCTGTCACTCTATTCATCCTTTACATTATTGTGACTTTCCTGTAAACGTTGCCACTCTATCTGTAAATTACTTTCACCCTCCCTCTGTAAAATACTGTGACCTTCCAGGTGTAAAATACCGTGACCCTCCATATGTAAAATGCTGTGACCCACCCTCTGAAAAACACTGTGAACCTCCATCTGTAAAATACTGTGACCCTCCCTCTGCAAAATACTGTGACCTTCCAGGTGTAAAATACCGTGACCCTCCCTCTGTAAAATACTGTGACCCTCCCTCTGTAAAATACTGTGACCCTCCCTCTGTAAAATACTGTGACCATCAATCTGTAAAATACCGTGACCCTCCATATGTAAAATGCTGTGACCCTCCCTCTGTAAAATACCGTGACCCTCCCTCTGAAAAACACTGTGAACCTCCATCTGTAAAATACTGTGACCCTCCCTCTGCAAAATACTGTGACCTTCCAGGTGTAAAATACCGTGACCCTCCCTCTGTAAAATACTGTGACCCTCCCTCTGTAAAATACTGTGACCCTCCCTCTGTAAAATACTGTGACCCTTCATCTGTAAAATACTGTGACCTTCCAGGTGTAAAATACTGTGACCTTCCAGGTGTAAAATACTGTGACCCTCCATCTGTAAAATACTGTGACCCTCCCTCTGTAAAATACTGTGACCCTCCATCTGTAAAATACTGTGACCCTCTATCTGTAAAATACTGTGACCTTCCATCTGTAAAATACCGTGACCCTCCATCTGTAAAATACTGTGACCCTCCATCTGTAAAATACTGTAAAATACTCTGTAAAATACTGTGACCCTCCATCTGTAAAATACTGTGACCCTCCATCTGTAAAATACTGTGACCCTCCATCTGTAAAATACTGTGACCCTCCATCTGTAAAATACTGTGACCCTCAATCTGTAAAATACTGTGACCCTCCCTCTGTAAAATACTGTGACCCTCCATCTGTAAAATACTGTGACCCTCTATCTGTAAAATACTGTGACCCTCTATCTGTAAAATACTGTGACCCTCCATCTGTAAAATACTGTGACCCTCCATCTGTAAAATACTGTGACCCTCCCTCTGTAAAATACTGTGACCCTCCCTCTGTAAAATACTGTGACCTTCCAGATGTAAAATACTGTGACCCTCCATCTGTAAAATACTGTGACACTCAATCTGTAAAATACCGTGACGCTCCCTTTGTAAAATACTGTGACCCTCCATCTTTAAAATACTGTGAACATCAATCTGTAAAATACCGTGACCCTCCCTCTGTAAAATACTGTGACCTTCCAGGTGTAAAATACTGTGACCCTCAATCTGTAAAATACTGTGACCTTCCAGGTGTAAAATACTGTGACCCTCTATCTGTAAAATACTGTGACCCTCCATCTGTAAAATACTGTGACCCTCCCTCTGTAAAATACTGTGACCCTCCCTCTGTAAAATACTGTGACACTCAATCTGTAAAATACCGTGACCCTCCCTCTGTAAAATACTGTGACCCTCCATCTGTAAAATACTGTGACACTCAATCTGTAAAAGACTGTGACCCTCCCTCTGTAAAATACTGTGACCCTGCAGGTGTAAAATACTGTCACCCTCCCTTTGTAAAATACTGTGACCCTCAATCTGTAAAATACTGTGACCCTCCCTCTGTAAAATACTGTGACCATCAATCTGTAAAATACTGTGACCCTCCCTCTGTAAAATACCGTGACCCTCCCTCTGTAAAATACTGTGACCCTCCCTCTGTAAAAACATCAATCTGTAAAATACTGTGACCCTCCCTCTGTAAAATACTGTGACCCTCCATCTGTAAAATACTGTGACCCTCCATCTGTAAAATACTGTGACCTTCCAGGTGTAAAATACTGTGACCCTCTATCTGTAAAATACTGTGACCCTCAATCTGTAAAATACTGTGACCCTTCATCTGTAAAATACTGTGACCTTCTAGGTGTAAAATACTGTGACCCTTCATCTGTAAAATACTGTGACCTTCCAGGTGTAAAATACTGTGACCCTTCATCTGTAAAATACTGTGGCCCTTCGTCTGTAAAATACTGTGACCTTCCAGGTGTAAAATACTGTGACCCTCTATCTGTAAAATACTGTGACCTTCCAGGTGTAAAATACTGTGACCCTCCATTTTTAAAATACTGTGACCCTCAATCTGTAAAATACTGTGACCCTCCCTCTGTAAAATACTGTGACCCTCCCTCTGTAAAATACTGTGACCTTCCAGATGTAAAATACTGTGACCCTCCATCTGTAAAATACTGTGACCCACAATCTGTAAAATACTGTGACCCTCCATCTGTAAAATACTGTGACCCTCCATCTGTAAAATACTGTGACCCTCCCTCTGTAAACTACTGTGACCCTCCATCTGTAAAATACTGTGACCCTCCATCTGTAAAATACTGTGACCCTCAATCTGTAAAATACTGTGACCCTCAATCTGTAAAATACTGTGACCCTCCATCTGTAAAATACTGTGACCCTCCCTCTGTAAAATACTGTGACCCTCCATCTGTAAAATACTGTGACCCTCAATCTGTAAAATACTGTGACCCTCCATCTGTAAAATACTGTGACCTTCCAGGTGTAAAATACTGTGACCCTTCATCTGTAAAATACTGGTGTAAAATACTGTGACCCTCCATCTGTAAAATACTGTGACCCTCCCTCTGTAAAATACTGTGACCTTCCAGGTGTAAAATACTGTGACCCTCAATCTGTAAAATACTGTGACCCTTCATCTGTAAAATACTGTGACCTTCCAGGTGTAAAATACTGTGACCCTTCATCTGTAAAATACTGTGATACTCAATCTGTAAAATACCGTGACCCTCCCTCTGTAAAATACTGTGACCTTCCAGATGTAAAATACCGTGACCCTCCCTCTGTAAAATACTGTGACCCTCCATTTGTAAAATACTGCGACCCTCAATCTGTAAAATACTGTGACCCTCCATCTGTAAAATACTGTGACCCTCCATCTGTAAAATACTGTGACCCACAATCTGTAAAATACTGTGACCCTCCATCTGTAAAATACTGTGACCCTCCATCTGTGACCCTCTATCTGTAAAATACTGTGACCCACAATCTGTAAAATACTGTGACCCTTCATCTGTAAAATACTGTGACCTTCCAGGTGTAAAATACTGTGACCCTTCATCTGTAAAATACTGTGATACTCAATCTGTAAAATATCGTGACGCTCCCTTTGTAAAATACTGTGACACCCACCCCCCTTTGTAAAATACTGTGACCCTCTATCTGTAAAATACTGCGACCCTCAATGTGTAAAATACTGTGACCCTCAATCTGTAAAATACTGTGACCCACAATCTGTAAAATACTGTGACCCTCCCTCTTTAAAATTCTGTGACCCTCAATCTGTAAAATACTGTGACCCTCAATCTGTAAAATACCGTGACCCTCCCTCTGTAAAAAACTGTGACCCTCCATCTGTAAAATATTGCGACCCTCAATCTGTAAAATACTGTGACCCTCCATCTGTAAAATACTGTGACCCTCCCTCTGTAAAATACTGTGACCCTCAATCTGTAAAATACTGTGACTCTTCCCTCTGTAAAATACTTTGACTCTCCCTCTGTAAAATACTGTGACCTTCCAGGTGTAAAATACCGTGACCCTCCCTCTGTAAAATACTGTGACCTTCCAGGTGTAAAATACCGTGACCCTCCCTCTGTAAAACAGTGTTGCCCTCCATCTGTAAAATACTGTTATTGACGATCAAGATCTAGAATCAGTATTTATAGAAAATGTATTCCCCTTTACCAAACGGTGCTTACAACTAAATTCGAACAATATTCTGTGGTTCCTTGAGAAGAAGGTTGCTGAAAGAATTTTGAAATTTTCCATAAGAGCTATGCCTCTCTTGCCACAGGGGCCCCAAGCCTACTGTGTACACAAATTTTACTCTCCTTCACCAGATGATGTTTCAGAGTAAATTTGGATCATATCCTGTAATACCTTCAGAACAAGTAGGATTTTAGAGAATTCACTAAATTTCCCCTATTGGGCCTCATCTCTTTGGCCCCTGAGGGCCAGACCCACCATTTCTACAAAATTTGATCCCTTCCCCCAAGGCTGCTTCTGACCAAATTTGGTCAAAATCTGCTTTGTGGCTCAGGTCTAGCAGGAATTTATAGGAAAAGTTGACGGATGGGCTGTCGGCTATGGGCCTCTTGTATACTTTTCTATTCATTCTAATAACTTCGCCAGTTTTTCATTGCACTTCATAGATTTTTATGACAATGAGGATTATGCAGCAAATAAGATGCCAATATCTTTTTCATAAAAAATGGATGGTAGAGAAAAGGATAATATAACCTACCTTTTAATATGAGTTATAATTATGATAATGATGTTGATTATGAAAATGATGATGATGAAAAAGCATCTCAGTATTTTACAGAGGGAGGGTCACAGTATTTTACTGAGGGAGGGTCACAGTATTTTACAGATGGAGGGTCACAGTATTTTACAGAGGAAGGATCACAGTATCTTACAGATGGAGGGTCACAGTATTTCACACCCGGAGCGTCACAGTATTTTACAGCGGGAAGATCAAATTATTTCATTGAGGAGGATAACAGTTATTTACAGAGAGAGGGGCACAGTGTTTTATGGAGGAATGATCACAATATTTTAGAGATAGAGTTTCAGAGTAGTTTGCGGAGGAATGTATAATGGTGACTGAAGGATGGTGAAGGTTTTGTATAGTAGGAGAGCACAAAGTTATGTCCCAATGGAAGCTCACAGTATTGAAGAGACTTTGGGTCATAGTATTTTATAACTGGAGGGCCATACAATTTAGTATTGTACAGAGTGAGGGTGAAAAGCCGAAGTAGAGTGCCACACAAGAAGGCGCAGGATTTTACAGACGATCTGTTACATACACTATACAGATTCTTGACTCATATTCACTGCAGCACTCTTCCAGTAGCAATGGTTGTGAAAAAAATCAAATGCTACATAGGTAAATTTTGTTTCAAGGCACAAACTTTGAAAGTTTGTACTACAGTGTTAAAAATTGTTACGTTTTGAAAGAGTCGCGTTTCTATGGAGGCTGAGAATCTGTACACGTAACTAGCTAATCCCGCCATAGAATTGTAAATGATCTTGTCTGAATATATCATCATGCACATCTCAATTGGTTTATATTTGCCGCGTAGTAAAGTGTCAACACATCATGGAAATATTTAACAATAAGGAAATCCTTGTGGTTTCATTACTTCTCATGAAATAGAGATATCAAACTTCATAGTCGGCCATTTTGCTTTTCTGATCACTCAAAAAGTCTCAACTAGGGACCAAGTGAACCTACATATGAATTCTGAGAGAAATTTATACAGCACTTCTCACAAAATTGTGATAAGAAACTTTCACCGTTGAAATCCAAGATAGCCTTTTGTTGGCCATTTTTTTCTGATCTGTCCCAAAATCTAACAGATACAAAATGGGACAAAGATTTTTACAATGAAAGTTTCTTAACCTATTCTTGAGAAGTACATATGAGAGAGATCCACCCTGTACTTCTCAAGGAATAGCATAAGAAATTTTCATTGTAAAAATCCAAGATGGCCCCGTAACTACCATAGTGACTTTTTTATCAGTCCAAAAATCAAGAGAAAAACTAGGGACCAATAGGAACTTACTTATGTTTTTTTCTTAATTTTCGAGTTACACATTTTCCTTTTTGTTTTTTTGTATGTCATCTAAATATTTAGTAAGAAGAATGAATTGAGTTCATACAAATCATTACCCTCCTGAGTGATGTATCAAATGAAATTCGGTTGAAATTGACTTGATCATCTAAGAATACTAGCACTGGAAAGACAAATTTCTGCTTAATTTGCCATTTGGGGCCCTGCGTCCAGTTCCCTCGGCTCAAATCAACTGAGTGCATGAAATGAACGCCATCCATAGTAATATTTGGTTGAAAATGCTGAGGCATCAAGGAAAGACAATCATTCTAAATAAAAAATTTAAGGCAAATTCTCCTTTGGAGCCCTGTCCCCAGACCACCAAACCAGCTGTTCTCATTTTAGAAATGATCATCTATCCCTAATGATATTGGAGTTAAGTTAAGTTGAAGTATGCTGAGGTGTTGTAGAAGAGTAGTGTTTTAAAGCAAAATTTTAGTCAAGTAACAAATTTGAGCACCATTTCCCTGTCCTCAGGGATTGAATATCTTTTAGAATTGAAGAAATAATTGCCAACCAATTGTTTCTGAACAAACATGGTTGAATATTTTAAAGGAAATGCTCATGGCAGATGACAATAGAAGAAACACAGAGGCTATTGGTCACCTTGACTCTAAAATCATTAGGATTTTGTGTAAAGCAATGATTATTCCTGAAACACTCCATTATCGTCTCTAGTAGCCTAACGAGTGAACAAAGTTAACATTTGTGCCAATGTTTCTTCAGCCATTCATTCAGTTCACTTAGTTCAGTTAGTGTGACTTTCAGCAAAAAACAATAAGCTTGCCCTGTGTTATGATCACACTAAGTTCATTATCGACAAGTGCTATGAAATACTGTGAAAGCGTCTTTTTGTGTCACATGCGTCTTACGTGACATCAAGAAAACCAAGATCCTGACCCTGTGTATTTTTATTCATCCATTAAAAGACAATAAAAATTTACATAAAATGGACCCTTGTTACCTTGAAGGAAGGCCACTGGAATTAGCTAATCACATAAATTTATTTGAAGATTTCAACATACTTGACCCCTACAGCCTTGAAAGTAATAAGTCAACATGACATCATTCATATTATTTACAAAAATACCAGAAACAAGTTCACCCTAGCAGACTCTGGAACAAAGGACAATGAACTTTTATATAAATTAGCTATTCAGAAGAAAATGTATTAACATTTTTACACAATCAACCGTTCTTCAGCCTTGAAAGTGGGTTGAGGTCATTCCTTTGACAAACTTGATATATACAGCTCCAATATCAATAATAAATTTTGAGTTGATTAATGATATTAATACAGTTGACCTTTGTGACCTTGAAAGGTCAAAGTCACTAATTTGAACAAACTTGAAAGACTGTCTTCCTAACATGCTACACGCTGACAAATGAAAAATTACTGTAATGACTCGGACCAAATTGATGTGGTTGGAAAGAAAGAATACAAGAGAGTGATTTGCATCATAAAATATTTTCTAAAGAGAAAACATCAAAATTTCAAAACTACATATCAATAGTCACTGGGGTCTTAACAATATTTCTTCTTTCCCATAATAAATTAACAGAGAAATACACATTGCATGACATGAATACAAACGTGTTGATTACTTGGAAGTTATGTTTGTATTGACATGCCTTATAGTAAGGCAGCTATGGCTAATAGTATTTAACTGATTATTATCTGCCCTGACACAACGGCATCACACTGAACACAACATTGTCTTTGCTATCTCCTGCAGCAGATATCGAGGAAAACTTTGCTTTGGACATTTTCTTTCTTCCACAGGTCAATGGCTTTACAGAGAACTTCATCTGAAATTTAGGTTCAGAACTTTGTCTACAAGGTTTCTTAACAAACGGTTCAGGTTTATGAAAACATGATTGATCACTTTTTTTATTATCCTCTTCTGAACTTTCACTACAGAGTGATTTTCTATGGTTTTCCTGTTTTGTTTTCATGACATCCACTGAGTCGTCAACAAAATTTATGTAATCTGTTGTGGAGTTATCTCCCCTTCGTAGTGATGTACTTGTACCATCACTACTAGTGTCATCAAGGATGATCACATCTTCAACATCTGAGTTCTTTTCCTCTTTCAGATTAATAGGTGTGTTGTTTGTTGTCTCCTGATCAGAATTTGTTGATAAATGGCTACTACATGTATCTAAAGTAATAAGTGTTTTATTCCCTCTTGATTGTGTCTCTGAGCTAAAGCTGTTTCCTTTGCTCTTCTTGAAAAGCAATGGTCTATAACGTGGATGACTTCTATCTTTCTTCGTTACATCTTTTTGCATATCACTCACTGACAACCATTTATCCAGTAAGGTATTCTTTACTTGAGGTTGCCTATTTTCTAACTCTGTCTTCTGTTTTTTTGACAAAGGTGATATGCTGTAGTCATTATTTTTTAACATTTCTGAACCATTTTTCTCTCTGTTTTCATTATCGATATTTTCCAAAGTAACTGTTGTAAAACACACATCTTCATCACCGTCAGAAAACACAACTCCTCTAGCTTGGGATACTGATTTTTTTTTCTGTCTGGCTTTCAAAACCTTTGCATTTCTCCTTTTTCTTAAGTTGCCGTAGTTACTAGAAACATTGTACATCCATTTTTGTACGGATTCTGGAATATCAAGCACTATACCAATTCTATCCTTTTTATTCAAAAGATGTGAAAAACAACCCATGTTAGAGCGGTCAGAGATGTCTACACCAAAAGGTCCCCTTGAATTTGCCTTAACAATTGGGATAATTTTGTGTGGTTTCACCGTGGAAACAAATTTGTGTAATTCCTGAAAGGAGCTGTGATCAGAATACTGCACAGTAAATATGTTGGTCTTGTTGTTGCAACTGTTGAACCCCAAACCCTGATAGAGAGCTGTCGGAAGAATGGCTATTGTTGGAGTGACTTTGTTCCAAGTATCAATGTTTTTTTTGGATACTGCCTGAAATTTCACAACTCGTATTCTACAGCTCTCATCATCTACGACAAACACATTGGGCAGTTTGAGCAGGTTAACACGTTGCTCCATTGTAGCTGGGATGGATATCCACTCCTTACATTTCAGTGCGATGTTGGCCAACATGTCTTCTTTCCCAAGATTTCGCATTCCGACAACCACAGTATGATGAGGATGTGAGTTAATTATAGACAAAATTTCATTCAAAGCAATATCTCTAGATGGAAAAACACAATTGGGAGAACAGTAGGTATTATCCAAGTACAGGAGGTCAATGTCATTAAACAACGCTCTGTTTGATTGGCTCATCATATTGTCACAAAGACGAAAATCTCCTGTGTGTAATATCCGACCAAAATAGCCTTCAAATAAGTACATGACTGAACCAGGACAATGGTTAGCATCAAAAACTGTCACCAACATCTTCTCACAATCAACGTCGTCAAGGTCAAGGATATGTGAAGTACCGACTTCTAAAGGTCGTACAAGGGATTCCTCAATTCCATACAACTGAGTCAGGAGCTCTCCTGTCATTGGAGAACAATGAATAGTATGTCTCCATGATGATGAAAGGCCAACAATATGGTCACCATGAAGATGGGTAAGAAAAAAGAGTTTTGAGGAAGGACATTCTCTGATCTTCCAAAAGTCCACAGCAATGGGTGTGCCTTGGATAACTGTGCCATTCATGATCAGAATAAAGATCCATTTCTGTAGGGAATCTGATTCATCCGAGTGTTTGTCTTCATTTTGGATTACTATAAAAAAACAAAACAAAACTTTTTATTAGTCTGATATATTCATGTTGTAAATAACAGTGTATGAATTCCATTGACATTTAGCTAATTTCATACATCAAATTAATTCAAAGACCAAAGCAAATAAAAAGATGCATCAAGTGATATGTCGGCAAAACATTTAAACAAATAATTATAAATGACTTGATTAAATAATGATTTCCTTTATTTTCAAGCTGAGAGTGGTGAAGAATGTATTGGGCGATATTTAGGTTGTAAATAGCCTAAACATGCATTTTGTTTTTAACTGTCAAATGTTAACAAAAATAATTGTCACAAAGGTTAACAGAATTAATTCTTAGCTTTATATTAGGGCCTACAATTTATTTTGAAAATCAGTTATTTCCTTTTGGAGAAAACTGGTACATAAACACAGCAAGAATAACTGACTAGATTTTCTTTGCTGTAACTTTACATAGGTATATATAAACAGTCTAGTTTTCCTATTGTTCTCTCTATTATACTTATATATATATATACTTCCCTACATGAAAGATGCAATTCAGAGAGCTACTTTTGGCATGTTTAAATTCTTGAGGTCAATACATATTAATTAGTCTAAGCACGGTCCAAGAATTGAAGTTGCATAAAACTAGACGTTAAATTAAACCTTCTCTAGATCTGCCCCTTTACAAAGTCAGTAATGATCGATGTTAGTAGTCCACATTGGGATAGTCATTACATTACTGTTATCGAAACTTTCTAACGATAATTAAAGAGAGTGTCAGCATTACCAGGTGAATAACATTCAAGGCATTATGAAATTATGCTCATTTGAAAAACACATTTTCCCGGGCTGGAGAATTTCCGGTTTTCATTCCCACTTTTATAACACACATCGATCGCTGTTACGAGAATGTTTTATGCGAGAGGCTGTTACGTCTGACTAATTCAAACATCTGACTTACACGGTTGTCTTGTCAAGGAGAGCACGGTTGTGAATTATATAGCTGGGACACTGTTAGACTAAAGGGATGCTAGTGCATGAATGGGACGTATAATTTATCGAAGCAAGCCGTGAACATTTCAGCATAAGTCACAACTACAGAGTAGTAAGTATATATGGATTCGTCAAGTTTATCTCGTTGATAGGCGATTTTATAACTATTTCGCCTCATATTGACAACCATACCGCCCTGAAAAGCTATATCGCCCAAACCATTTCGCACGAAAAGGAAAAAGACCTCACATGTAAGTGCTTTAATGATGCACAATTGTACGCTCATGTAATTCCATGGTGATATATCAATTTCGTGTCAATAGATATGGCAATGAATATTATCACAGACTCCGAAAAATTCCAATTAAATATGAGTACAATTGATATAACAAACGACACAGGGATCTAACTCTTCTGTAATTGTTGCCAGAGTTCGATTTTCCTCAAGCCTCAATTGGCAATTTGATTTCATTGAACTTTGAAAATTTCGTTTTGGATTTCTACTTTGTTTAACTATGAAGAATGATTTTTGTCATAATATAATAAATAGCCCAAAGTCATTTGTGAATGATATGAAGTTGATATATAAATGCCAATCGAGTTTCTCAATGCCCTTTAAATAGTAAGGAATTGTCTGGCTTAAGCTTCATCATTTGAGAGGTAAAAGGGAACAAGCTAAACAATTATGTTTCTTTCTTTCTTTTCCTTTTTTTTTTTTTTTTTACAAATGTATACTCACACAAATAAATACATTGCACAAGGACATGGTGAATATTCTGCACAGTCTGTATGTGTATGGTGTTCCATTTACACAACAGGTCAAACCTGAAAAAAGATCCACAATATTAAAGCAATTCTCCTTCTTAGACTTTCTCAATGGGAATTCATAGAGGGACATCCATATTGGATTTTTGACCTACTTGAAAATGTTAAATATGACACTTTCAACCCTTGTCCAATATTATATACTTTGAAGACAGTGGTCATCTCTTTTACCAGTCAAAAGATTACAATTAACAATCCACAGAAATGGTAGAAGACTAAGAAACATAGCAACATAGATCTTTTCATAATATTGTGATAAGCACTAAATTCAAGCAAAAAATCAAATTGCAAAAATTTGCATTTGAGATTTCTGTTTTGTCAATGTATAAAGGCAGTATGATATAGGAAGTTCTCAATGGACAAAATGTAATAACTTTGAATTCAAATTTACAGACTTTTTAAACATTACTTGTAACAATAAAAAAAAGAAAAATTAGTTGATGGCAATGTTTGTACATGTACAACTGAATATTTACTTAATGTAAACATATCCTAGAAGTGTGTGAATGTATACACATACCTGTAAGCATTACACAAACTATTTATCCCATTGTTTTATTCAGAAAAAAATGTCACAATACTCCCAGCGCATGGGAAGACTTGCTGCCAGGATATTTGGTGATGTTACTAGACAAACAAATGCCAGGTCCAAAAAAGTGGAGAGGATGTTCAGAGATAAACCCTATCATTTACGTCCAGAGGTTGTTGACTACTATCCAAACTACAAAGTCATCAACAGGCTAGAATTCAAGCTTCGGGCATTTGGAATGTTCAGGTATGTAATAAGAAAACAAAAGTTTATATAATCATATGAATTTTTTTAAAGATAATTACTAAAATAGTAATTTTGAACTATACATGTACCTGCATTTGATACATTTATTCTGAAAGTAATTAAAGAAATCGGAATTGATCCTAGCATGATTGTTAAGGTCAGTCTTTCTTTGAAGTTGAGATGCTGCAATATTTACAAACCAAACAGAAGGCAATACTCAGATAATGATTAAATATTTACTTTTCATTTACCATCCTTTTTAACTTTTACTGTGCTGTATACCTATCAACAGCCCTGGTCTTGATTTTTATGCTCCCCAAAGCATATACATGTAGTCGCTGATTTTGTCTGTCAGTCCATCTTTCTGGCCTTTCGAGTCCAGAGCATAATCTTGCCCACAGTTAAGCAAGGATCATGAAACTTGGTGTGTACTCATACTGACATAGTTGATACTAAGACAATATGCATTGTATCAAATTCAGGACTTGCATTAAGTGTCCTTTGTTAAAATTTCATGTTAGGAGTACAACTTTGCTTGCATTTAAACAAGGATAATGAAACTTGAGGTAATCAATTGTCATACTAATAAGACAATATACCAATGTCAGGGCCTGAACTCCTCAATTATGAGTTATTGCCCTTTGTGAAAATTTTGTTTCCATTGAAGTTGTTTTGGAAAGCCTTCTTCAGTTTTACTGATACTCTTGTTTGTTTTTCCAGAGACCCCCACTTAAATGTTAAAAATGAATTTGAGAGGATGAGTTTTCTTGAGGGCAAAGTCAAACCAGAGAAAGGTAAAGGAAGACGGGCCACGCGCAGATAAGCAGATGTGTGATGAATGGACAGTAAATGAAGAAAACAAAACAAAAATGTTTGCAAAATGGAAAACTCTTGTTGTTTGAAGCATTTATTTATTATTTGAACACTTTTAAAAGCACCTTCGCTTGGAAATAATTTCAAGTTTGGTATGCCTATTGAAAAACACAGCAGTTAGAATCAGTTTTTGTATTGAGGTGAAATATGAATATGAAGCTTTTACCTTTTTTTTAAATCTTGAACCTTCTCTTATTCTGATATCATGCAACATATACCGATTCTTTTAAATTACTTATATGCAGTATACTGGTGTTCTATGGTGTTCTATTATGACTGCGATATATGACCTGAAGTTTTCTGTAAAATTAAGTTGAGTGCATTTACCAGAGCGAAAGTGATCTAATGTAACTGTTTGTGTATAACATTTGAGGATTAAATGAATGGTGAATATTACCGTATTTGTTTTTCTTGTATCCAAACAGCATAAAAAGTTGTAATTTCTTTGAGCATCATCTAGTTGATTAGCGATATGGTCCAATACGTCCTCAATATAATTATGTATCTTTTAATAGTTCACCAAAAAAATCTGATTTTGAGATTTTAAGATTGCCTTTCAGCCATGCTTGATAGCGCATCACTATTTATCAATTAAATTTGGAAACTGATACATTTTGATGAAAAAGAAACACATTAGCTATGAGGTCAAATTTTTTATGCTGGAGACTGACGGAAAACTGCTCATTTCCCAAAGAGGTTTTTAAATGATGATATAAAGAAAGATTCATAGGAGATCTTTAAAGCCCAACAATCGTCTATGAAAGAATCCTGCATTATCTAATATGCTGGTATGAAAACTAATCTGTCACTGTCCTTGGAGTTTGTGACCTTTTTGTATGATATATGATGTTGTCATTCTGCTTTCTTCAAAATGAAACACATTTATTTGTTTATTAGCATTACTTTGTAGTTAAATGTGTTTTTACCTGACAATATCTACATTAAACAAAGTTCGAAACAACCAGGAGTACTGGACTCTCCATATCTTCATAGTCTACATTGTATTCTTCACAAACATCTTTTCCTACTTAAGATGCTGGAATAAGGATCAAAACATCAGGCTTATTTGAGTTTTATTTCATCCAATCATCTACATAGAATATACAAATATTTTCATATTCTGTAATATAATTTTCAAAGTGCATCATAAGAAAATGTTCACATAGGATTTCCTATGTAAAACAAAACAAAATTTTCGGTTTTGAAAATCATACATACAATATGTATATGAGAAAAACATCATTTGGATCTTCATTCAAGGTGAAGACAATAAGACTACAGGTAGAGACATGAAAGAAAGTTAATTTTCAGTTCAAGATATTTTGGCGTTATCACAGATAAAATGTCTATAAGACATATGAATGCCAATTACCTCCCCCCCCCCCCCCCCCCCAACTTCCTATACAAACCTGAAGCTAAAATCTAATGAGCTGTAGAGGTTTCTGTTGTGTAATAGATATGAAACAAAACTATTGAGAAGTTCTCAACATATAGCATTGCTTAAATTTTTCACTGTGATGCGAATTACTACAACCGTATATGCCATTCCTTAAAATGGGAGGGGCATGAACATGAGTATATAAATATATACACATGTATGTATCGCATCACCTGACATAAGTGAGATAACTTTTTACAATATAGTAAGACATGATGTACAAATGCTAGAAGTCCTGTCTAATATTGATAGAAACCTGCCAAGTTTTTTTTTATCAAATTCATACATGCATAGAGCAGGGGCTTCTAATGAACTGCCGGTGATAAAACTGCAGAACATTCTCTCAGATATTTAACACAATGAATTGCAAAATATCAAAGTCAATCTGAGTAGAGTGGGTGTAAACTGATAGACGTTCATGTGTAGAGGACTTTCACTTTAATGTGCGTTATATACACCTGGTTTGATATAAAATATAAAGCATTAATGATACTCTTTATCAAGTTAATAATCACACATACATCTCATTATAAAAATAAATACCAGGCCCATTGTTGTCTTCAGTTACTAGTGCCACATAGCTATAAATCCCAGTTATAGTCACATTTGTAAAATGAGAATGTTTTAGCCATAAAGTCATTAATAATAGCAAAATAATTACAATCAATATTCAGGAATAAAGTTTGCTTTTGGAATTGGCGATATAGGTGGCAGCACTTTATGTCGATCTGATCCTGGCCGACCCCTTGAACCGGGTCGAGGGGCAGAAGGTGGTCTTGGTGCATTAAGTTCTTCTTGTTGACTGGTTTGAGATTTACCCCCCTTTTCTTCCTCCATAAATTCTAAAGGGTTCATGGTTTCCGTTGGTAACTGGGGACCTTTACCCCCACCATGAACTGAACCTTCTGGCGAACCTCCACCCATATCACCTGCTGAAGCCACTGATAACATGGAGTCTGAGCGTTCGTCACTGGAACTGTCCTCATCTGATTCAGCATGAGGTGGTTTCTGGACAGGGGCCGAGTATGACCTGCTGACCTCTCCGTCTCCTAAGCCCATCTGACCTTCCACTGTCTGAGGTGCTGTCTTCGGGTATCTGTAAATAATTATAACGGTGGTTTATAGAAACCTTTTTGCCACTAAATGGTCCTCTGCTAATTATGATACATTTCTATTGTAAGAAAAACTTTAAAAACAATTAACAATTAATATTTGGAAAAGAAAAAGACTTTATATATATCAAAAAGTAAATGTAGGACGTGGATGTATGATGAGATCGCTATTTGTGAAACGCAACCAAGTAATACACCATATACATAATTGGAGAATATCCAAGCAGTCGAAATTCTGACTCAAAGTAAACAACAAGTTACATTAAAATGACAGTAGTCAGACAGAAAAGTGACCACAGTTGACAAGTTTGAAGGGAAAATCATATCAGCCGTGTATATTTTTGCAATTGGAAACTGATGGGTTTCTAACACAACTTAAGCATTGTATTATAATAAGACCTGTTTTTGCCAATTTTATAACAGCATGACAGTACATGATTATAGTTTGCTGTATATTCAATCCTAACTGAAAGGTTTGACATAGAAGCATCGGACAGAAGCACTATACACTGTACTGACTGTGTAACTATCTGCTCAAACAGTGGTGGTATGTAGCCTGAAACTGCATCTCTGGCAGCACTGTGTCTTCTTCTCCATGATGCCTCTTCCTGTAATTAACACAATAAAATCTATGAAGGGAATTTTTTTTTTCTTTATCTAATTATGATTACCAGTAATACAACGTTTAAAAAAGTAAATTTTGTTTCAAATCTGCAAATTTTCATGAAATATGCAAAAAAAATTCTGCAATAAAACAATGAAACATTAATATTAATGTATCTTTAACATTAATTGAAATGGAATTCTCAAATTTGAATATCTGATTAAAACTTTGCTATGTTAAATCAACAACAATTTTTTTGGAATACCATGAATGTATGGAAAATGCTCAAGAATAAAAATCAAGAAAAATAATATGTGCATTTCATCTCTATGAAACAAGCATACCAGCATGCCTCTGCCTGACTGAACAGGTGACTGAGTAGCTTTGGCTCGCGTGTAAGCCTGAGACATTCCAGCGCTATCTGCGATACTTGGTTTTGACCATGTCCTTGTTCCTATTTGTGTAGTTCCATGGACGTCAGTCTCTACGTGTGTTTCAGCGTCACCGTCCACAGAACCTGCGGGTGACCTGTTGAGACTGATTCCTAAATAGTCCATCACCAGACGACGCAAACGTTTGTACGCGACCTGGATGTCATCTGAACAGAAAAACATGACATGTTCTTTCTCTTTATCATAATTTTTAAAGGCAAAGTTACACTTAGTGTACAATATTATATTTCATAATCAAGAGGCCCATACTGACCTCACCTATAAAAGCTGTCGTTTTTGTCATTGAAACATGTAATAAAAAATTATCTGAACTACATGTACATTGCAAATGTAAACCAAGTTTAAATTATGCCCAAAAATGTCATGTAAATTAATTTGAATAAACTTATCCCCACCTTGGGGGAAACGTCAGATCATTGGGTCATAGAATACACATTTTTATAAGCACCAAAGATCCTTCCATCACAGACTAATTTATTCTACCATATCTGTGTCTTGAGAAGATTTTTGAAATTTCAGTCAATTGGACCCCTTTTGGCAGGCACCTCCCCTCAGGTCCTTGGGATTCAGCCTTGGCCAATATGTGCATACCATCAAAGTACCATATGCTTATAATTCTTACAAAGTCCAAATTATTTGGCATTGAAATGAACGATGCTGAAAATGTATTTTTCCTATATTAATTATAATGAACTCCTCCCCCCTTCCCTCCCCAGGAATGAATGTGAGACTCTGGAGTTAGCCATGGTCAGTATGTAAATGTACTAGTGTAAATCTTGATGTGACCCCTATATGGTCCCGTCCCATAGTCTCTGGAGACTACAGGTGGGGTTCATAATTGTCATAACATCAAAACCTCATCCCATGGTTAAAATACAAATGAAGTTCCAATTGAATATGAACAAAATATACCCAATAATATCATTTTCCTATATAAACTACAGTAAACTTTACCCTCACCAATGGGCAAACCTGGATCTGTGGGTTGAGTACATTATTATTATCAAATTTGGTTAATCTTTGAAGAAGGAAGGTTCCTGCAAAATTAGTTCAGGGGTTTTGGAGAAGTTGAAAATGTTGCATAATGATATACAGTTTGTTTCAGGAAACCTAGGAAAATTTGGTAATGCAGATCATGTACCAAAAATACTTAAATAATTCCAGTACATATATGCTCAGTCAACTTGAACTATATCATTATATTACTAAACTGACTGAATTAGAGAATAGACATAACAAATGATAGAAATAGTTCCAGTATCTAATGAACTTCATGATTATCAACAACAGAACTTACCACTATCGATCATCATATCAAAAAATCCTGGGTGATCTTGGTTGTATCCAGCATATAGATCGGCCCGGGAAAGTGTGTGTTCTATCTGACCCTCTGTGTAGGTTGCTTTGTCTCGCAGGCGTTTCTCATGACAGTCTCGACCCAGCGGCATGATCAGTACATAGCGTGGCTCAAAATAGGTGTTCTTAACCGTCAGCACTCCCTGTCAGCAAATTTGATTAAATCAGCTTGTATTTTATTGGGTTACTTTTAAGATTTTTTTCTCAATGGCTCAAAATTTCATGGTTGAGAAACGGATTTACTGACTTACTGAAACTGATTATGGTTCTCTTTATCAATTTTCTTTTTCTGTTTTGCAACTTTATTAAATCCTCAAAAATTGTGAAAAAAAACACTCCTCCAAAATAACAACCTTTATGATATATTTATCTGATGTGTTGTGTTGTAATTGTGTATAGCAGAGTGGAAAAGCCATTAGCATGGCCTTAATTACCTCCAGTTCCATATGCACTACACAGGCAAGCCCCTCCCTGGCCACACTCTCAATAGACTCCATCTGCAGACCATACCAATCTCCATGGTATTGGTATGTCTGGATAAACTGGCCCTGTGAGAAAAAAAGATAAATCTTCTAATTTATCGGCTTAATTCTATCTGTATTCTATCTTTTCTTGTTTATTGGTTGTTAAGAAATACAGGAAATCGATATACTTCCAGTAAACTCCAACAGTCATGAAAGGGACAGTCATGGTCTTATCTGAATGTCTAAAATTTGTTGATTTAAAGGATCAATAAGCATTAAAATGATCGTTTGATTGATATGAAATACACCAATACAATTAAGTATGCCTCAGATGATTTTCTAAGAGTCTTGATTATCTGCTGGGAATGAAGATGGATGGATCAGCTGGGATTGGCAGCTGATGGATTATCTACTGGGAAGTGAGGCTGATGGATTATCTACTTGGAAGTGAGACTGATGGATTATCTACTGGGAAGTGAGGCTGATGGATTATCTACTGGGAAGTGAGGCTGATGGATTATCTACTGGAAAGTGAGGCTGATGGATTATCTACTGGGAAGTGAGGCTGATGGATTATCTATTGGGAAGTGAGGCTGATGGATTATCTACTGGAAAGTGAGGCTGATGGATTATCTACTGGGAAGTGAGACTGATGGATTATCTACTGGGAAGTGAGACTGATGGATTATCTACTGGGAAGTGAGACTGATGGATTATCTACTGGGAAGTGAGGCTGATGGATTATCTACTGGGAAGTGAGGCTGATGGATTATCCACTGGGAAGTAAGACTGATGGATTATCTACTGGGAAGTGAGACTGATGGGTTATCTACTGGAAAGTAAGGCTGATGGATTATCTACTGGGAAGTGAGGCTGATGGATTATCTACTGGGAAGTGAGACTGATGGATTATCTACTGGAAAGTAAGGCTGATGGATTATCTACTGGGAAGTGAGGCTGATGGATTATCTACTGGGAAGTGAGGCTGATGGATTTATTAATATTTACAGGGAATCTATGCTGTTGGTTTGTCTTCTAAAATTCAAAGCTGATTAAGTATCAAGACTGATGGACTGAGTTGAGGCTACTGAGAATTATTGAGTCAGAAATGTACCTTATAACAGTAACAATGAGAGTGTGTTTAAGTGTTTACCATTTTGATATCCATTTCAAATTTTTCCAGAGTCACGAAATGGTAGTCGACCCCGTCTGTCTCATCTGGCTGCATCTTTCGTGTTGTGTGAGAAACTCTACATAAGAAAAAAAAATTAAATTCCATCAAACAGCAGTTCCTCCCATAACAATGAGTTTTCTGTATATCTTATTGTCACATTATCAAAGATAATTCATAAGTCAAGATTAACATATTTCATTCTTTAAGAATATGGTACATTGAGCAATATATGTATCACTGGCCGATTTTGATTTCCTGCAGACACAGTTCCACATGAACTACAATATGTTGTCTTTTCAAGAATTTTTTTTTATTAATAATTCAACTTTTGTCATTGTACATACACCTACTACTATATGTAATTGTAAATTTCAAAATTTGTTTATAACAGGAAAACTATGATTGCATATGCAATTATGTTAAAAAATGGCTGCTGTTGTTTCCAGATAACAAAGTTTTGACCTGGCTTAAAAGCAACAACTACTTGTCAGCATTTTATTGCCAATTTTCAGTTCAATGGAAGGTCAGATGACCTGAAAAGTCATCGAGACTATGTGTATTTATTGTATGTAAAAAGACTATATATCCAAATTTGTTAAAGAAAAAAAAATAGATAAAAATGAAAAATACATGTACATGACTATATATGTTAAGTACAGTAATTGGAGATATTTTACATGGTACCCAAATAACTTTATTTTTACTCACGCATATCCGAAATAATCTGAGAACTCATCCACCAACTTCATGGCAAGGTCCTTCTTGCCAGATCCCTGGGGCCCAACCAGGACTAGCATAGGGTATGGAGTCTCAATACTGGGCAGAGTGCTGGAAAAAAAATGCAATGCATCTCTATATTACACAAACTGAAAAATGATAACAACTTGAAATCAAAAGATTTCTTTTTGAATTTCAAGCATGGACAATTTTACAGATATCCTAGCTGTTTTGAAGTTTAATGAATAGACAGTGATTTTGAGTGAAACAATGCTCATTAAACTTTAATCACTTTTGGCTGTTCCTAACATTTTCCACAACAGATCAACTTTGCAAAGGTGTTCAATATAAGTATCTCATTTTCCAACTAGCTTAGTGGGTATTGCTTAACTACTGACAAACTTTGGTGTAATGTATATACACATAGAGATGGGTGATCAGAGATGAAAACCATTAGAGAATTAAAATAAAAAGAGAGCTTATTGTATTGAATACCCTTGGATTGGGAAGTTGCATTCAGCAAGGCAGGCAATTAATATTTTTACACAAAAAATTGTTTAAGAACGATAACTATGCATTAAAAGAAATCAAATGTTTGTGATTTAGAATGTCTTCAAGAAACATTGAAAATATTAATGAATAAATAGGGATTCCTAAATTTGGTTTTGTTTGATTACAATGAACAGCTGTTATTTCTGTGTAGTCAGAAAATCAGACATCCTCAGCCCAAGAGAACTGCAAGTTCCCAAATGCCAGTTATTAATAACAAGCAGAGCTATTGTCTTGTGAATAATATTTGTCCTCAATTAGCCCAGGGGTAAAAGTATTAATTATGATGGGACGAGGCAAAACATATCGGTTAATAATTGGACTAACTAGTAATATGTAGGATGGGTTTATTACCAGAGAGAAAAATTTGGTATTTGTGATTCTTAACAAGGACTTACCTGTCGAGGACTCTGCTAAGCTGTAGGAAGGAATAAACAACATGCATGATATGGTCCCTGGCTGCAATCACCTCTAGTGGGGGATTAAACATGTTTACTGACGCGACCTGAAAGGTAGGAAAATCCGTAACATAGCAAACTTCGAGGGTAAATCATCATTATAACATGTACAGTTATATCATGCCATATATGGTGCTGACATACCAGTAACAGACAATGTACACTGAATTTTAAAGGATTTTAAATGTATGCTTGTAAATATCACTTCAAATGGAAACAAAAAATTCTTCCAGTAGATCATAAAAACTTTCACCAAAACTTAAATTGTATGTACACTGCTTAAAAAAAGAAAAAAAGCTAATAAGTGTACACTACTTATAAAAGTGTACACTACTTCTTATGAAAGTGTACACTACTTTTTATGAAAGTGTACACTACTTCTTATAAAAGTGTACACTACTTCTTATAAAAGTGTACACTACTTATAAAAGTGTACACTACTTATGAAAGTGTACACTACTTCTTATAAAAGTGCACACTACTTATAAAAGTGTACACTACTTATGAAAGTGTACACTACTTATGAAAGTGTACACTACTTCTTATAAAAGTGTACACTACTTCTTATAAAAGTGTACACTACTTCTAAATGTGTACACTACTTCTTATAGATACTTTCTTTCTTGCCCCCCACCCTCCTCTCATCTGAAATACTGATGGATCATGGAGGTCAGTGGTGTTGTTGTTTTGTTACCTTTTCTTCTGCCTCCACTCGGTGACGATCAAGTTCATTCAATCTTTGCATCCTATAGAGTATGGACAGTCGATAGTCGGGGAGTTCCTGGATTGGGTTCCTTAGTAAATTCAACACACGCAACATCTCCAAGTCTTGTATGTACTTAACTTCTGAAATATCTATCACCTATTGCACAATAAAAATAACAGAAAAGAAAATCAAAAGCTGGAGAAAACTATCATGAACCCAGTCAACCAACTGCAACAACAATAGGTCTAACTTAAGATTGAATTTTCATTCATTGATGTTTTGATAATAATTCTTACATTGACTGAATAAATCTTTCTATTTACATTCATGATGGTATACAACATATTTCCAAACAATTTTAAAATAAACTTTATCAATCCAATCTCTAAAAGACCTTGCATTAATTATCAACTGATAATAAGTTTACAAGAACATGCAAATCTCATGCATTTGGTATAAAATAAAATTGAAATATCAAATTATCAGTTTTGTATTGCAATGGAGTACACTATATATTGATTTTAGAATTCGATTTTTTTTTCCAAACTAGTTTTTATCTGACCTCATTGTCCTCAAGGTCGATGGATTCCAAAAGGTCATGCTCCTGTAATCCCTTCATGCTTCGGATATTGTTTCCAGAAAAGTTCACTCTCTGTTATCAGAAAAAAATTTATTACACATGATAATAAAGTATGATATATAAGATAAATATTACAAATAAAGAAATATTTACCAATTTATGCTATCATAATATTCTGAAAGTCAAAGTCATGCTAAATACTATCAAACAAGAATTTTAAGAAACTTTACGGTTACAAAAAATAATCTTCAATTGTATAAAGTTTTTCCAAAATAGGCCCATATCTCTAGTTATTATTAGCCTTTCTGTATTGTTTAACTTACAATCAAAAAAAGCTCTGTAGAAAAGCCAAAGACCTATTTTATAACCTTATCATACTATCACTCCACTTTATGAACTGTTACTGCCTACATGTTTAAATAAGTAATAAACATTCATTTTTTTTTAATTTAAATTTAAAACAATTACAAACTGAATGTCAAAATTTTCATTCTTACCTGTAATTTCTTCAAAGTTTCTAAATTTTCAATCCTTTTAATCTGATTATGGCACTGAAAATTAAAACAGGTAAAATGCAGACATGATCTGTCTATACTATACTATCATATAATATACATTGTATAGCAGCATCTTACACTAAATATGTACATATGAGTAACATTTAGCAAAATAAATCTCTTTTCTTCATTTTTTATCATGCCTAAAGTTCTTGTAATACTGGTGTTAACAAAAATTGAAATTCTAGTTCACAGGAATGTAATACTAACTGCTGAAAAGTTTTATTTGACAGAATGTTCTTTCCAAATTAATTCAACATATGCTGTTTCGACTGAATTTCTCTACACTTGAATACTTACCAGATCTAGATGTTGTATTGGTAAGTTATTCAGTCCCTGTATTCTGGAGATTTTATTGTGGGCTAACTGTAGAGTGTTTAGTCGCTGACAGTTCTCAAGACCACCTATTTCAGAGATTTGGTTGTCTATGGTGCGGTCAAGGCTTATTGGCCAAATTTACATATCAGATTATATCACCTTCATTATGAAAACGTGAAAAAGAAATCCAGGTATTCTGCATCTAGATTTCTTTATCTTTCGGGCTAAAATTCTTTCTTCTGCACGTAATTAAAAATTAAGTCCTGGTGTCCTTTGTTTGCTTTTCTAAATTTTTGGTCAAAAAGAGCAAACATGTGATTTCTTAAAAGGTCATTACATACATGAGTAGTGTGTACATAAAATGAAATTTTGAAAAAATGACAAGCACATACAAGTTTACAATTCAGTGGTAATTTTTACAATTCTATAAAGACTTGGTCCATTACGCTTGAATAAAATTGAAGAATCAATGTAGACAATATAAAGGATACGGTTTAGGTTGAGTTTCATCAGATAGTGATGCTGTGACAGATCTGACATTTCTGTGATCTCATTGTAGGAAAGGTCTACGTCCTTTAGGTTTTTTGGTGGCTCAAAGTCAAGGAGGCGATTAATCTTATTATGGGAGACGTCTAGGATCAAAAGGTACTTCAAGTGACTCAGAGGACTGAGATCTGAAATTCAAAAATAAATTCTTGACCAATTATTACCAATTCAAGAATATTTGTTTAAGTGTAAAACAATGTACCCGGTATGCTATTAAAATGCATGTACAATACTTTCTCTCCTCAAGCCCACATGACCCCTCTCTACCCTCCTCTATCTCTAATAATTGTTAAAAATTAAGTCTGAGCCAATTTAAAAAACCCTTTATGGTACAATAACGACATTCAAGTGGGCAATAGATATGTCTTCTATCCAGTATGGCTTAATGCTGGTATATATACCATCAATGACCTAATTAAAAATTCTGATCATCTGACATTTTTCTCCTTTGATGAGTTTCGTCATAAATCTTTAATCAATACAAACTATTTACAGTATTGTGGCTTGATTACAGCCATCAAGTGTTTCTTGAGAAAACATGACTTCCATCCATTAGGACTCTTTCAGCCTTTTATACCACTTCTATTTGAATTTTTTTATAAAAGTAAAAAAGGTGCCAAAGATTTCTACAGTTCTATTATTAAACCGTCACCAACCCCTACAGGTATTCGAAAATTTCTTAATGAACTGAACATAATAAAGGCTTTTATTAAAATGTGAATTTCAAGAATTTTTTCTGCTTACAAGTATTAGAAAAAGGTGATACATGATGGACTGAATATCAAACATTTAACATTTGCATTATACTGTTACCTGTTATTTCATTGTAGGGAAGCTCCACTTTTTGAAGATGGACGAACATTTCCATGATCGCAATATCTTTGAGACTGAATCCCTGCAAGAAGAATTTTTCTACATTATAAATGCCTATTTTTAAAATTTATACCATTTTATTTTTGTTTTGTTTTGTTTGTTTTAACAAAAATACTAATCATGCTTTCTAGCAGATACATGTTACTGTTATATTTCATGGATGTTGACTTTAACAATTTGGAGATGAGAGAAGAGTACCTTGGGAAAACACATGCAGTCAGACAGGTGACCCAATATTTTTTCATCTCCATTTGGGAATCAAACCATGAACTCTGGGTGTCTAGGTTAAAGTGTATTACCACTATGCCTTTTACCATCCCAAGTTTAATGTGCAAGCTATACTTGGGATAGGCAACAAAAATTTTAATAGGGGCAAAAAAACCTTTCCCATTGAGGCAGAAAAAACAATGTTACAAGCAAGTAAATTTCAACTGTTTCAACAATATTATTCAACTACAGATATCCATTTTCTTAATTAATCTAACATCACACAGAATATTTGTAATGCTCTTTTGCCTAAAAAAAGGGAAAAAAAGCATCAATTACAAATTAAAGCAATCATAAATATTAACAGTAATGTGACACCGTACTGCTCTGGTGTCTTATTATACACAATACAAATTAGAATAATACAAAATAGGTAAAAAAAAAAAAAAAAAATCACAAACTAACTAAAATCTATCTGTGTTAACAAGCCTTTGTTGATATTTACCGGCACAGTCACATGAAGATAAACTTGCATGGATCCATCAGCTGATCGTCCCAAGTTAGACAGACCTCGACCAATGGTCTCTTCATCCAGGATCCCACCAGGGGATAGCTGCAAACGTTCACAGGAGAAATAGACTCATATCACAAGTACCTGCAGTCATCTGCACTATAACATGTGTTTGTTGGAGTTCTAGTCATTTCGCTACCGATTTGTTTCTTTTGCTACTTTGGTACTTACTAAAGTGGTTTTGGTGCTTGCAAAATGGTTTACACTGAGCTAGAGTGTTATTTTCAGTGAACAGTTTATCAGTAACGGAATGAGCAATATTTATAAATGACAACACATCTTAAAAACCTAATTAAAAACATTAACCAAAACAATCTGGTACCGAAACCACTTGGCCCCGTTTGTTGATTATACATGCATGTCCCAGCCGTGGTCTATAGGTAAAGAACCACATTGTGTACGTATGTTGCGTTTGTTCATGTCTTTCTACCTTTATCAAAGTATCTTAAATGCTATATGTTGGCTGTGAAACCTCGAGGAACCTCAGTCTAGAGTCTGGGCTGTCCTACTGTATGTTTACATTAACTGAAGTCACTCTTTTGAACGGCGTGTCAGACATTTCTGAATGTTTCCACATTAAGATTAAAACACACCATTATGACAAATGTGTCAAGTAAGCAATTGAATTCGTTTCAAAACAATACCTGTTATGTACTATATTATTCTTTTTCATGTAAGTTTAGAACATTTTAACGTATTCTGTCCCTTACCTCGATATTTTCTTCATCAACTTCATCATCCGCATCGTCTAACTCGTAAATACCTTCCTCTCTATCAATGACATCTGAATTATTTATTTCATTTTCCAGGGTTAGAATATTTGCATCATAATTCAGCACGTGAGTTTCGCCTCCTACATGCACAACATTACCGTCGATCACCGGAGAAGAGTGAACAGTGCTATTACCTTCCGCCATATTTGTTTCCTTTCGCCTAGAAACAAACAGCGCCGCAGCAAATAGATGTACAGTGATATGCTAGAGTAATATTCCATTAAAGGGATAATGTAAGATATTAACATATTTCAAATATTTAAAAAATGTAATATACTTAATATAGCCATAGTTAATCTAGGAATTATTATAAATATATAATGAATTCGTTTTTCGCATTATGTAAATTTCAGCGAGGTGATATCCTCGTATAGTATTTTGCACGTCAGAGCTTTAAGGTTCCTTGGGCGTATCTAGGTCTCTAAAATGCCTGTATGTTTATCTTATGCTCCTTGTTAGTGACATTCATCACATGGCTCATTCTACAAGATAGAGTCATACCATTTGTTTGCTCCGCGAAGGGATATATAATCTTATGCTCCTTGTTAGTGACATTCATCACGAAAAATATAAAAAGTATCGACATGAAACTTCATAGGTAGATAGATCTCGATAAGTGTTGTGTACAAAAACCATAACTCACTTTTGCTTCACTTAGGAGTTAATCACGATCCTTTCTTATTTGTCATACTTAAATTTTTCTTAAGCATCACTCAAAAAACTATAAATAGTTTCGGAGAGCATTCATCAATTTCATTGATACTCTTATCTAAAAACGAAACAATGGCAAGTGCAATCAATGATTGCCAAACTCACCAGCCGCAGCCATTGCATAATATGTATGTGCACATTTCCTCATATTTGCTTAGTTATTCTACATAAAAAATATTATGAAACAACTCTCCCTGTAAACTTTCCCTGTAAAGAAAGATGACGGTACAATCAAAGTATTGGTCTATAGGGAAAGGACGCACACTGGCCAATACCTCAACTTCCGATCGCACCACCCCTTACACCAGAAGCCAGGCGTTGTGTACGAAACGTGGTCAACAGATGTGAAACGATTGTTACAGAATACCAAGACAAGAAGAAAAAACAAAATCACATCCATAGCACCACGAAAACATGTGAGCACCCAGATTGGGCAACCCAGAAAGTTGAAAAAGAATTGATTAAAAAAAAAACAAACAAAACAAAACAAAAGACGGAACACATGTAGTCACCCTTTACATCTAAGGTCTGTTAGAAACCATTCAGATTCTTGGTCATAGCATTGCAACGGCCATGATTAATCACAAGACTATCCGAACACCCAAAGAGATCGTCTCTGTGTTCGCTTGTTGTTACTTAGATATCTCCCACTATATAGTTTCAGTTGTTCATGATATGTCATAATGCCGTATGTGATATGATCTATAGTGGCGTCACAGTAAGTAATATTTCATACATGTGTAATACGTCCAAGGCTATATAATTTACTGGACAATACTTAAGGTGTGATGAAATTTTAAATGTAACTGTTTCCCAAATGTGTTAAATACTAAAAACAAAACAAAAAAAATGAAATATATGTTTTCTACAAAAAAAGTCTAGAACATTATGTGACGAGAGCAATATTACCGCATGTGTGAATTATTTTCAAAACAAGAGACTCGGCATCCTTAACATTTTACTTCCGACATGCGCAAAATCGTGATTTAGAAGATATCCCAACATGGCGGCGGCGTTGATTTCTAGACAAGTTCTGTGCAACCGGCTTCTCAGTTCCAAATTGGCACTATGCAAAAGGACATTGTCTGTATCGAGTAGTATTTTTCAAAAGCCGCCAGCGCCAGGACAGAAAAAGGTCTACAAGAGAGAAAAACCACACTTGAACATCGGTACAATAGGGCACGTGGACCACGGCAAGACGACATTGACAGCGGCAATCACTAAAGTTCTTTCCCAAAAGAAGGGAGCAAAATTTCTCAAATATGACGATATTGACAGAGCACCTGAGGAGAAGAAGCGAGGGATTACAATCAACACTGCTACAGTGGAATACAATACAGAAAAACGTCATTATGGTCATATTGATTGTCCGGGGCATGCCGATTACATAAAAAATATGATAACAGGTATGAATGAGAGGTCACGTTACCTGTTTTGACGGATCCAGAAATTGTCTGTTTGTAAAGAAGCAGAATCCTAAACATTTGCTATTGTTGCTGCTACATCATACAATTCAATAGGTGTTCATAACAGCGTATCGGATCAACAGGTCGAGGAAAACCACATTTTTTTGTGTAATTCACAAATTGGCCTATTATACGCCAATTGGTGTATGGATTTGTTATGATAAATAGCCGCAATTGTTAAACAGTAACTTTTACATCACGTTATTAAATTTCGCATTAATTTACGACAAAGTTAATGTTTTTATTTTTCAAAAATATGTAAACTCAAAGTGCTGGCTTCTTGGAAGCTTATGTAACGGTTGCCATCATAGCAATAACTATCATAATATAGACCAGAAGCACAGCATCTATTTTCGGTACTTTCCAACGTGCAAATAATTTTATTATAGGTATAATAGGCCAGTTTGAATGCTGTACACAAATTTGTGGTTTTCCCTACCTGATCAATGTGTTTTTTGCCAGGTTAAGCGCAACCTCAATTTGCTTACCTCCACTAATCCCTTTTTAGAGTCCTCCTTTGGACTCATTTATATCAGATGGTTAATAAAATGTCTCTTATCGGAATCACTAATCAGGTCTTATTAAGTCTATTCTGGAAATTAAGTTGGGTTGACATTCCTTGTGTCCTGGTGTCTTGCACGAATAATATATTTTTATGCATTTCTATACTAATACACATTACAAGTTAGATATTTTTACAAGATACTTCTGTCAGTCATTTTGAAACACATGATGGAGGATTTCTACTCATTTGGTGGAGATAGTCTATTTCAAATATTGGCTAGTAACCCGCCTTGTGTACCACCGTGAAAATTTCAATAGATACAGACATTATTCATTGCTTCATTAAGATCAGTAATCAAAGTCTGAAGACTCGATGAATCTTGGAGACTTCAGTCATTCATAAACAAACAAATGTTGATATGTCTCATGACTTAAAAATGTTTGTCAGTTGTCTCAAGAAAGAGAACATGTTCCAGAAAATCCCTGGAAGGAAATTAAAAAGTTTTCTCAGATTTCAAGATTTCTACCTAGTCAGTACAGTTGCACAAACTTAAATAAAAAATATAACAACTTTTCAAAATGTCACTATCAGAAGATGTGTGGAACAGTGTTAGTGATGATGAAATCTTTAAAGAGCATAATCAAGAGCAGGAAGGAATGCTCTTGAACACTATCCATTTGGGGACAGCTTAGTGTCACAAGAGAATTGTGGCTTTTCTGAAGATGAAAAATATCTTGGCTGGCAATGTGTGCTATTATAGAAACGCATGCAATCATTTTTTTAGTGGGAGACACAGGACAGAAGGTAAGTCAACCTGACTTAATTTCCAGAATAGCGTTTACAGGGCCTGATAAGTCCCAATTGCATGGAGGAATCCCAAAGGGGATTCATTCTCCATGAACAAATTTGCTAACACAGTGCCCGGCCTTTATGTGGCCTGGCCATTATTCAGTGCTCAGAATGGTGATGTCATTACTTTATTATACTCCCCGAAATCTTTGGAGGAGCATATTTATCTTATTTAACAGGAAACAAGGGGAGGTGTATATACTTGTAATAATTTTCATTGTACCTTTGATTTCTAGCATTTGAAGTTTTGAATTGTAAACATACTGTTTTTACACCGATGTTGTTAAAGTTATATATTTACAAAGAAATGCAAAGTTTTGAAATTGAATAGCGAGCTGAAGTACCTCTAGATAGAATTTATTCATAATTGTTGTCTAGGTAATAAGTTAATGATGATAAAAATATAACATTGATAATTGATGAAATTCAATACTTTATATTTGATTGGATTTTTTAATTTGAATTAATCTGGACAAGCTTCTTGCAGACTACAAGCACTGATTGACTAAGTTCACAAATCATGTTGGAGTTGTTGATGATATAGGATATTTTAGGTTAGAATGCAAGTAGTAATTTCTCTTGTAGTTCCTGAGTCTTTGATAATAAATCAACTTTCAAATCCATTTGTAGTAAATTTTGCTTTCATTTTTAGACCATAGTAATAGGGTGTAGCTGATATAATTTGAATGATGAGTAGCATTTTCTTGAAAAAACATTTTCATTTTTGCATTCTTGAATTTAGCTATTCCAAAATAACAGGTATATATATCTACCCATAAATTTCTACCATTTAAAGCAATTTCCTAGTTTGATTCCAAGAAAGCTGTTTGTTTTGTATTTCAAGGAACTCTTGCTGGAATACTGCTATACGAAGTATTGTGACCTAAATTATTCTGACCCGATATGTATTGAGCTTCTTGCTACATATAAGCTGTGTAGATCAACCACTTGGTAGCTAATGATAGCCAAAATTAGAGACAGAATTTCTATATATGTATGGCATTCATATGCTTTGCAGCTGATCGTTGAAATATACTTGAAAATTACATATATATATATATTCCTTTTTAACCATTTCTGACAGAAAAAAAACTGCTGAGTATTTGATGTGAAGAAGTAAACTTGCCATAACATTCAAAATACACTGAAGTAACAAATGCCTCTGAAAATTTGTATTTTCCCATATGCTTTTTCTGCGTAAAATACCGAAACGCATTCATCTTTGTAACCTTGGTAATTGAACATTAATTGATAGCATTCCTGTTTGATTGAGAATTATGAAGTGGAAAAAATGAGTATACTTTGTGAGAACAGTAGGCACTGAACAATAGAGCTGGAGATATGGGAATGACAGATCTCTCAAAATAGTGAGCATCGAGGAATTTTCAGAAGAGAAAATATTACATTTGCTTTAGGTTTTTTCCTAAATTTTGCACTGACTATCATGTAAACCATTAGTAGTGATAAAAAATTAGTCCTATGATAGGCATACAATAAACGTTTCCCTTCTCTGCTTTGTAGGAACTGCCCAGATGGATAGCTGTATTTTAGTAGTGGCAGCTACAGATGGAACTATGCCACAAACTAGAGAACATCTACTTCTTGCGAAACAAATTGGTATTGAACAGCTGGTGGTGTTCATTAACAAGGCCGATGCCGCTGATGCAGAAATGATCGAGTTGGTGGAAATGGAAGTCAGAGAAACACTTAATGAGTTTGGATTTGATGGGGAAAATACTCCTATTGTTGTTGGTTCAGCTTTGCAGGCTCTTGAAGGGGTCAATGACGAACTCGGAGCTGAGAAAGTTAGGGAACTTCTTGATGCAGTTGACAATTATATCCCTGATATGGTTCGAGATCTAGACAAAGATTTTCTTATGCCAGTTGAGTCTGTTTTTACCATTTCTGGTCGTGGAACAGTGGTGTCTGGTCAGGTTATGCGCGGTGTTGTAAATAAAGGAGATGAAGTTGAGCTTAAAGGTCATGGGGTCACTATTAAAACTCTACTTACTGGAATTGAAATGTTCAATAAGAGTCTAGATCGGGCAGAGGCTGGAGATCAACTTGGAGCACTTTTGAGGGGTCTGAAAAAAGCTGATGCCAGGAAAGGAATGACACTATCAAAACCTGGAACCATTCTTTCAGTAAATAATATTACAGCAAAAGTTTACATGCTAAGTGCTGAAGAAGGTGGAAGAAAGATTCCCTTTGTGAAAGGCAGTCAAGCCCAGATTTACAGTACAACTTGGCGATGTCCAGTTTTCTTTCAGTTAACAGAGAGCAAACCCTTGTTAATGCCAGGCGAAGATGCTACAGTTGACATGTATCTTCTGAAGAACATGTGTATGGATGTCGGACAGCGTTTCACCATTCGGGATGCCAACATTACCACAGGGTATGGCGTGGTGACCACCATCCATCCTGACGTCGACATGGAAACCTATCTTGGGGACAGGAGAAAGATGAAATCAGCAAAGAAAAAAGCAGAAAAGAAGGCTGAGATGGAGGCTGGGAAATAGAAGAATTATAATCAACTAGTTCTTTGTGAGAATGGTTCAGTATGGAAAGATATAGAAGTATTTGAATCATAGTATACCATTGAAGGTATCGTCAATGTTGTTGTATTTAATGTAAGAAAGAGTTCTATAAATATAAGCATGATAATTTAGATGCAAGGGATTCCATTGCTACACAAAGGCTGTTCATTTGCAGACCTACTCTAGTGCTACAATATACAAGTTTATAAATCCAAAGTTTAACGTGATAAAGTTTTCAAAACTTGTTCAAAACTTGTGATCTGAAGTGAGTAGAGCTTGGTCCATTACAGAATATTAGTGGACAGAGACGTTGGAACAAATGTGTTTTTTGGTAAAATTAAATTGTGTACAAAATTATTTGTAAATGTATATGAAAGACGCTTTCGAAAACTTTAATCACTCCACATAACTTGATGCCAAATCATGTTTCTCTATGAATGGTGGCTATCTAGTTGAATGATATTCAATATTTTAAGATGCAGAAAGCAAAAGTCATTTTTTTCATTCATTATACCTGAAGTTTTCCAACTGAGAATTTTTGAATTCTTGAAATTAAATTTTGAATATTTTCTTTTACCTTATTCAGCAAGAATTATTTGTACCTTGTCTGAACAAATTATATGTGATACATACATAGTGTATATGCAATTTGGGTGTTTAATCTGGGAAACCAATAGCAAAGATCTATATTGAGCAGTGCATCAATGTTAAAACTTTGATTGTACAAAGGAAGTACAACTTGTATATTTGAATTTAAAAAAATACCAGCCAAAATATTTTTGATCTTGGTCTTTGGTGTTATTGTTTTCTGATAGTACACTCATCTTTAATGTTACTGATTATAAACTCTCAGTTTTAGTAATGATAATGTTGACTGTACATTAGTTTCTTGTTTATGTGTGTTGACATCTTGGCAAGTCAATACTTGATATTTTGCAGTAAGTGTTTTTCAAATATTGTTCATTTTTAAGACGTGCATGGTCGTTTTAGGTTTTGTCATTTCAAAATCACTAGCAGATATAACCTGAGGTACTTGACGATCCTATTAGTGTTTTATCAAGAAAACAATTTGGTTTACTCTCTGAAATTTTGGTATGGTATTCTGATACTAGTGAGAGTTGAAGTATGATAACATCAAACTTTGATATAAAACTTCCCCACGGATGATTTTTTTGAGTTTTTGAAATCGTCTTGTCATGATGTCATTGTCATTTTGTCTCTTATATTGAGTGATGATTAAAATAAATCAGATTAATACCAATCTTGTGTGTTTTCTTGTATGCTAAGCTGATCAAATCAACCTTCATCCCTTTGTCCATCCATCATCCATACACTGTGCTTAAACAATTAATGTTATGACTATTTCTTTGAAGTATGATGGTTGAAGATTTACCAGACACTTTTTGAATTTAAGGATTTCTCTAAAATACAGGTAGAGGTTATTTATATTAGTTGTAAATGATGAATTTCAATCAATATATCGGTACTTTCATCTATTACTAGATACTGCCACATTGGATATTGAATGTGGAACTTAATGTCATGTTCTCTAAGTGTGAACCAGAGTAGCACCAGTTTATACTTAAAGAAAGGACAATGTGAATGTGGGACTTAATGTCATGTTCTGTAAGTGTGAACCACAGTAGCACCAGTTTATACTTAAAGAAAGGACAATCAGCAAAACTTAGACACTTATCATTTCACAATATTTTGGACACACATATTGTCTACTTTAGTCATTACTCAAAAACAAAGAAAATGTCCACATGTCAACGTAATTTCCATTCAAACTCGAAAGTGAAGGACACTGAAAATAATACCAGATGTTCCGGAAGAATAGACATCTTCTGCTTCATTGCTTGGTCTGTAGTAAGTAATGTCACGTTCCCAAGTAAGAACAAGGTAAACAACGACGGAGCCACCAGGCATACTAATGAGTATCAAACGCGTCCAACTTTGTATCGCACATGGATTTGGGATTTTGCCCTTGAATATCGAATCAACTGTGACACGTTAATATTGTCAGGCATGTTGCTATCTGTCCAACTCGCATCTCATGAATTAAAATATTTCCTAATGAGATCATTATAATGAGCATAAAACTTCCACGTAATTTCCATCAACATGCATCTCTTGAAGACCTCGAGTTACGAGATTTTCATTTGTCGACATCTTGCAAAATCGTAATATTGAGAAAAAAACCCTTTGATATCGAATCATCTGGGGAATGGAAACACCATATTTTAGGGAAGTAGGGCAATTGCTATTCAGGTATGGACAATTCATAATTGGGAGATGGTAACCTTCATCCTTGTCACAAACATGTTGGTTTCGATGTAGGAAAACATGGGCGTATCTCTGAACATTTGAAATATCATTACGGGACGATTTCTTTTGATAGGGATTATGGTATTTTACCTTAGATTAGTGTCGGTTAGGTAAGCGGCTGATGTAGAAGAGTTTCTTGTGTCCTTGATTTCCAACCCTGATGGGTATACATATGCACGATGGGCATAGCCAATAGATTTTCTATTTACAGACAAGACAAGGTCAATGACCTAGAAATAAAATCGAAAGAGAATGAAGTCTGTATGTGGCACAAAGTTCGTCTACATTTTGATATAGACGGTTGTAAAGGTAAAGTTTTACTGGTTAGCAGATATTTCACGATTACTGTTACGAAATCGTCCGATCCATACATCGGCCAATCACACAATGACCGGAACTTACAAAAACCGCGAAATCAAAAGAACCAATAAAATTGGACATTAGACTGACGTAAGACAAAATTTAACTGACCAATGACCACACGACACTATATACAAAGACAATAACGAGACTGACCACTTAAGTATACACGAGACTAATGAACAAGTTACAGTATAGCTGAATACTAATAAACAAAATTCAACAATTAGTGCCACTTCTGGGGTGAACAGTATGATAGTAGGGCTATGATTTTGTATTGATACTACTGAAAATGGTAGTAAGAGCCTTGATAAAGGTTCAGTTCAACAACTAGACGAGTCAGCAATAACATGATGTTTATATGGATCTTTGTCGATTTTAGAAGTCCAACATAAAAGAGGGAGGTCCATATCCTTATCATTTATTGGTAATCTGAATTATTATAGTACATAAGCATGATTAGCTGGTATTTCTTCTCAGGAAAGACTGGATAACATAACAAGCCTAGTTCTATTTGTATACAGAAAACGTAATGTCTGCTGACAAGGATCAAGTTTTGGAACAACTTGGAAATCGTGATGATTGAGTTAACATCATCATAAAGGAATATAGACTTATTTCGTTTTGATTTCGATCTACTAATACTACATAAGAATTACAGAAGGAGTGAATTTTATCAACCCTGAAAGTAAAGCCACTATGCTCTCGTTTCATCCACTCTTTAGCATACTTTCCTACGGAATCCATATTTGGAAATTCACATTTCAATTAATGGACATGTTGCTCAACGATTCGGATAATGCTAAATTCGCCAGGTGCTATGTTCTCAGCTGGACAATATAGATATAAAGGGGTGGAAACTGTAGATGACCGACGGACTGCTCTTTCGACGTGTTGAAAGGTTTTTGGTGCAATATGCTTGGAATTTCTGTCGGACATGACGGTATGGCTGGATACTCCATATCTGACAAATCCTGGTGTGAAATATTATTGATGAATAACACAACTGCACTATTTGTATGAATTATCTCTCAAGGGAATGCGGACCTTAAAGCCTGACCTCTGACTGTGTATCTGCACCTGTGATAAGAAGGGATGTCATGGCCTTGTTGGTACTTGTTGTAGTAGATAACTACACACCCTAATCTAGAGCGATAAAATCCCGTCACATGCATTAACATAGTCCTATAATCCACTCAATATATTTCAATATGGCGACACACAATTCAACAAAAATTTTTCTCGTGTGTCTTGTATTAACTGTTTTTTACCCTGGATGTAGTATAGCATGTTTGCCAGGAACGGACATTTTAAAATGTGTTCATCTTTTCGAAGGCCTAACGTTTCTGCAGTATCTAAATACCACCGGGCTTTTTAAAACGCTCTTTTATACAAAGGGTAAGTACACGATTACTATGCATTTGATCAGTTGAAAAATAATCTGTCAGTTTAAACATATTTATTGCCAAAAGATGGACAAGGTTTAAACATAAGTTATTGCGACTTATCAACGCCTTCTCCCAATATATTTTAAATGACATACAAATACCGACGTTTTACATCAAAATCATGACCAACATGAAGGAAACATTGAAACACTTTTACGGTTTGTATCGTGTGGTGATTATAAACTTATTTGACATAAACTATGAAAATTAATCAAAGAAAAATAAATAAACATGTATGAGGGTATCATTAAATCATTTTAAATTTATACTTGAAATTAGACCACTGGTAAGATTTGCTCGAGATTTACATGAAATATCGATATAACTTGACATTAGGGTCAATGCCTGGACAGAACGCAAACCCACAAAAAACATGGGTTTGAACCTTACCCTGGTGGCGCGTGTCAACACATATCATCTCATGAATACACATAATACGTTTTAGTATATAATATAATAATGTAATATAGAAAAATACGGGGAAGCAAAACGAGACTATCATAAAACAAAGAGTACCGAGATGGACAGGCTCGGAAAGCAAAGTTTACGACGGACAGGCGGACATTATCTATTTAGAACAACATTATATACATTTTTACTATGAAAGAATATATATTCTTTTTGTTGTGTTATAATATTATTGTTGCTTGGTAGTTATTCTTTATGCGCCACCTCATGCACTTCATATCATGATAGTAATGCATTATTCTGTATAAATCAACCTTCTATTTTATTGTCTCGAAGTACACTTCGATATTTGTTCGTTATCTCGAATAGAAAATACCATTCCTTGAACATTGGACAAATCGGTAAGATTAATGGAAGCCTACATGAGGCAAGCAAGCTGGAATGAATATCAGTCAACATTTAATACATTACCTATCACCGTTATCAGGGGGATAGATCAATTTTATTTTTCTTCAGGCAGCAAAATATACATAACACAACAACGTAACATTATTGCTGTCTTCTTTTTACTCGACGAAAACTATATAAAACTTAAGTACCCCGAGCGAAAACATGATAATTTTAACCGTGTCGTTAATTCTATTACAGACGCAACGATATTTCTACCCAGTAATGGCGCGTTTCGGAAACTGCAACCGGATGTGACGTCAGATAACAACACCATGAGGGAGATTCTCCTCTACCACATACTACCTAAATCCGTCAATATTTCGACACTGACCAACGAACAATTATTGTTGTCAAGTACCCCTGCTGGTCAGTCAGTCCGATTCAACAACTATTCAAACGTAAGTCTATCACCAATGTTCAATGTAATGCTTTTACTTACCGAATGCTTTTATGTTACTTAAAATGATTTACTTACATCGCGATCCATTAAAAATCGTGCTTGCTTTAAACTTACAACATCATTATTTGTCACATATTTAGCCATGTTTTCTTAATCAGTGCTACATGAATGGGATATGCGGATCATAGATGAAAACTAGACACACATAAGTACAAGTTTATGTACATATCATATATAAAGCCATATACCGAGAGGTCAATAGAACCTTAGTTCAAATTCAAAATGATTGATTTAGGACAAAATATGAACAAAAGAAAACCAAAAGAAAGAATAAAAGTAAAAGAGCCGTAAAACCGGGTGTTCCGGAAGGGCAAGCGTCTTCTCTTTCATTTACGATACAGAACATGTAAATCTTGGTTAATCCTAGTATTTAATGTTAAACATAACGGAACCACCAGGGTTACTTACGGGTATCAAATACTCCTAACTTCACATCACAAGGAGATCATTATGACGGCCATAAAACGTCTCAATAATGATCATTAATCTGCATCTCTCTTGAAATGCTGTGTTGTGAATTTATCTGTCAGCTATTGTACAACATCTTGATCGTGGGAATCAACCTTTGAGTATTGAATCAACTAGCAATGTTGCACTATAGAAATGGAATATGCATAAAAAGGAAATCGCATAATGCTTATTTCACAACTTGGTGGGAAACGGTATCTATTGGTTTTGTCATAGGAAATGGTCGAGGTAAGCGTCTTACCTTGCACTTGATTCTGGTAGATATATGCGATGGACACAGTTGTAGAATGTTCCAGACATTTTGAATAGAAAATATTAAAGTTGTCAGCAGAGACCCAAGTATAGCGCGTTGATTAACACCTATATTAATAGGAATTACCTTGGGTTTTTTTTTCAATTACAGGTAATAATCTTATGGAGTGAGACAATGACATTACAATGGTGTTATGTTGTAACATCAACACCTGTAGCCTTTCCTTGCTTGATTTCAGAATAAAATCTGGTGTAATATTTGGAATATGATTTACTATTTTATAGAAGAAGCAACTCATTCAGTCTAGTTTGTTTAGCTCTTCTTAGTGATATTTTAAGTAAAAATCTAAATGAATGTACATGTATTTATCTAGTCCCTACAGCCAATCAACAGATGCGTACACAAAACATACACATAAGTGAATAGCACTTTAAAACTCAACTTTTGAGTGTAAGATACTAAAGAGCAACGTGTAGTTCCTTCTAGGACTTGTCACTTTTTGTTTTCCACATGCAACACATTTAACTTTCATATTGAAATCTTATATCAAACCCATATTCGATAAACATGAACAAACGGTAGAAATTTACACGGTGACTTTTGAAAAAGTACCTTGAAAATTTAGACCAGTAGCTAAGTGACAGGAAAAAATGGAATGTACTGACAGAAAAAGGGATTGTTCACTCATTTAAAAAAGGTTGTTTCGATACCAGACAATGCATATTTTCTCCGGGTAGTCTGGTTTGTCCCTTCGAGAGGACACCTTCGCACGTATGGATCCAGACCAACACTAATCTAGTTTATCAATAGAAGCATAATGCATAAGCATAAGCAGAATTCTTACATAACAGATCCGCCTCGGAATAGCCTTGGAAGAGAAATTCTGCTTGTCCTGTTTGAACGGCAAAACTGTTATATAGAAGACCCGCTCCTTTGTTTGATACAGATAAAACTGTTATATATAGACCTGCTCCTTTGTTGACCCGTTCCTTTGTTTGATACAGACGAAAATGTTATATAGAAGACCTGCTCCTTTGTTTGATACAGATAAAATTGAGACAAAGTAGTCCATGTCTGTCATCGTGATCAGCAATATCTGTCAGAGCAAGGATCTTGATAGGTTCGGGGGAAAACCCAGGTAACTGATTTTCAGCCGTAAAAGCTGAATCAGTAACCAAAATATTTTATATGTTGGTATGTTATCCTAAGTAGGACGTAAACCTGAAATTTCAAATAACATCTTTGCAGTTAATGACAGTATCAGGGGCCGTCATCCTACGCAGTGACGAAAACGCGACAAATGGCGTCATCAACCTAGTGGACCGTGTGATGTACCCGCCCCCTACCGGCAGTCTTTACGAATATATAGCGAACACCAAGTCTTACCAAACTCTACTGCTCCTAGCGGCGAAAGCTCAAATTCTCGACACTCTTAAAGGTAATGACGTCACGTATAAATATTATCTATTACAGACGGTACTTATCCATAATAACCAATTCATGCTCACTTGTGTATCTGGTAATACTTCTTAACGCCCTTCTTTGTAGGACATAGCGCTTAACCAGCTTTCTTCTCAACTTCATTCCCTCTTGTTCCCAATTATTACAGATGGTACATACACGCTGTTTGCTCCCAATGATGATGCATTCTCCAAATTACCATCTGGTGCTATCGCTAATTTGCTGTCAGATATTCCAAAATTGAAAAGTAAGTACTTCACTTCTTCAGGTAAATAAACTGTAGAATTCCAAATCTTTCTTTTCACATCGATCTTCATAAGATACGCACAGAAAAGATGTAAATCGACATTTGCTCATTTTTCCGAAAATGAGATATTTCCATTAAATTTAGAAAAAATATCAAACGTTCTCATAAGTAATATACATCTACATCCGTTTAAAACATTTATATGATATGATTAGCTTTGTAAAACATGCAGTTCATCTAACATTCAAAAATGTTCTCGTATGCATGATGAAATATAGATGTTGATTGTATTTTTACTATTGTTGGGCCATGCACGCGAACACAATCATAATCCAAATTAAAATTCAATGAAACTAGGGCGAAATATGTGAACAAAAATTCACGGAAATTCCTGAAGATTCAGAAGATTAAGCGTCTTCTGCTTCATCGAATACACCCGTCATGTGGTCAATCCAAGTAAGTAATGTCACGTTCTCAAAAAAGAACAAGGTAAACAACAACGGAACCTACAGGCAGACAAAAGATCATCAAACATGTCCAGGAAATATAATATTTCTCAATAAGATTGCTATGACGACCGTAAAACTTCTTCATGATTTCCATTTACTTAATTCACTATATATTTGAAATATGTTGTTATCAAACGTATTATAAATTAGTTCCAGGTTGACGAATCTTTACAAACTAGTTCTAAGTGTTGTAACGAGTTTATCAAGATGACAGTGAAGTAAAATGGCTTCCTTTAAAGTCCCAACAGGCATCGCTAATTCACTTTCAGTATCATAGTTTTTGTTGTATGTATAATCCAAAGTGGCTATTTCAGAGGTGTTGGAAAATCACATAGTATTGTCCACTATGTACAGCGCAGGACTTGGAGTAATCGGGACAGGAAAGACGTTAAGTGGAGGAAACTTTACCGCGAGTATGTATTAACGACCTTTATACAATGTTTTCAGGCTGCTGAACAACGATCAGTTGTTTCCAAAACGTCTTGACCTGAATTGTCTCCCCTTTATTTTTTCTGTTTCCATGTGTTGTATGATTTTATGTTTAAAACCAAACTTAATACCTGAACAAAATTAATGTTTGGAAAAAAAGTTTATAAAAGTAATTTAGAGATAAACGACATAGACAACGATAGACACTATAACATGGTTCTCTTGGCGATTCACCAGAATTTAGATGATTTCCACTAATTTGTATTAAAGTGTAGCTAAACTGAATTTTTAAATTTCTCATAACAGATATAAATTTCTCTAAAAATTTGTCTAAAAAAAAAAAATGATAAAATTTTCTTACAGCCCATATATATTACCGTATTCTTGCATTTCATATTTTGAATACACCTAATATGGAACTAAATGACGACTATTCTTTGGTGGATATGATCAAGAAATTCAATAATCTATTCAGGGACTCATTTTTGAGTGTTTCCATGCAAATCTTTCTTTTATTCCTATTTTGTAATCGTTTTATTTAATCTAGGTTTGAATTAAAATTTTACCAACATATCGTCAGTTGTTATTCTGTAGACAGTCAGTCGTAAAAGATCGATTTACCTAAAACGAGGCCTCAGTGATATTCTAATCAGTCTTCGCTCATCCTTTGTTGTAGATACAAAGTCAGTTATATTCAAATCTCGTCTTCTCTCATCCTTTGTTGTAGATACAAAGTCAGTTATATTCAAATCTCGTCTTCTCTCATCCTTTGTTGTAGATACAAAGTCAGTTATATTCTAATACAGTCTTCTCTCATCCTTTGTTGTAGATACAAAGTCAGTTATATTCAAATCTCGTCTTCTCTCATCCTTTGTTGTAGATACAAAGTCAGTGATATTCTAATCAGTCTTCGCTCATCCTTTGTTGTAGATACAAAGTCAGTGAAATTCAAATCTCGTCTTCTCTCATCCTTTGTTGTAGATACAAAGTCAGTGATATTCTAATACAGTCTTCTCTCATCCTTTGTTGTAGATACAAAGTCAGTTATATTCTAATACAGTCTTCTCTCATCCTTTGTTGTAGATACAAAGTCAGTGATATTCTAATCTAGACTTCTCTCATCCTTTGTTGTAGATACAAAGTCAGTGAAATTCGGCAGTGTCAATGCCACTATGGTATCTGCCGATAGATCTGCAACAAATGGGGTCCTTCATGAGATCGACTCAGTCTTAATGTGACGTAGATAACAGCTGACGTCATGCTTGATGACGTATTACTGGGATGTGTGTTTGGTCAGCTAAAATATAACATATTTTTTAAAGATGGTAATGAAATCTATCTGTTGGAGATAGAATACTGGAAAGTGTATTTTTGATGTATAGCATTTGAGATAGATTGAGGTCAATGTGTCGAAATTATATATATGTCACTTTTATTGCATGTGATCAATCCTATATCAATGAGCGATAATAATGTTTTGCATATTGGCTTTGACAAAGCCTTGCTAAATAAGTGTACGTTATACATGTATTATGCTTTGTGGTAATTTTGTCATAATATAGACTAATCAGTTGTGACAACAAATGATGAAAATTAGATGATGTCACTCAGTTTCACTTAGAATATGTTACGTCACGCTCATATTCGGGTCCATAGATATAGAAAAAATGATGTGTTGAATGACACCAAAAGTATTATTTTTTCAGTTTGCAACGAAGCCATAATTTTGAAATAAAAATGATGGGGGAAAAATGCGAAGTTGCTCATCTTTTATGAAAGGTCTCAAAACTCCTTACTTGTGTATCTTTTTCATTAATGTTTGCTAGAGAAGCTTGCTAAAACATGAGCACATATATAAACTTTAGCCATATTAGTATCATACGAAATGGGAGAAAGTAACATTCTTTAGTGTAGTTTTGTTTCGAAGTGCAAATAAGTGCGATATTGCGTTTTTTTATATACTGGTGTAATTCATGAGAAAAAAGTATTACTGTTCTGGATATATGCCGTATCATGAAATCTTGTTCATTAACATATCAATAAATAGCCACTTCAATTAATTAATTGTTAATTATAGGTTATTGTTAAACATAGGCTATAATTTATACTTGTCAAGAGTGTTCTTTCTTAAATAGTCATTATTGAGCATTGTTCTGATGTCGTACGGATCATACAATGATATGATTTTATATCTGATATCTGATATACACAGACAGTAAAAATAATATTTCTTTCAATGACAAAGCAGATGTCTTGTAAAATATGTTTTCCTTGAAGCGTTTTTATTTTGGTACGCCCTGGCATCATGTGCACAAAAACATTATGAGTTTATGACACAGTTATATACATTTAGCATGAAGCAAATTAGGTTTACAAGCAACATTGCCTACTGAGGTGATGTATTGTTATACCCCACTCTCAAGTACTCTAACAATCTACATATTATTGTTGAAGAAAAGGAACCAACCTTAACAACAGCGATGGGTACCTTGTTACACCAAGAACGTACTTAAATAGTTTTCTTATTGATAATGTATTTTGCGTGAGTTTCATGCCATTTTTTTTATATAAATGACATAAATTACCACAGAATCAGTACTTTTATCTTAAGTAAAATGAAATAAACTTATTTTTCATGATTTCGATATTCATTTAATACCGTTTCAGTTATACAAATTAAGACAATCTGTGTGACGAAAATTAGCTACCGATGACTGAGATAAACATTGCCAAGGACAACCTGTGTGATATAACGGAAGATGGAGAAGAAAGACCATATGAATCCAGTTTTTTTATAGAATCAATAGAGATGAGGGGTGTTCAGCTGCCTTTCAGCTTAGTTGTTGAACAATTTCAGTGCGGAAATAATTCGTTATTTCTACCCTTTTAGGACTGCTTGGTCACCTGAGGTAGATTTGGTTGGATGCAACACCTGTACTCATGTACTAGCAGCATTTTGGGGTAATTGATATAATTCAAGAGTTATTCCCCTTAATAACACTAAATAGAACATACATATATACTAAAAAAAAAACTATGTATTCCGAGTGGTTAATTTATAAATTGAAATCTAAAATAATATATTACATTTTATACTAGATCTGTTTCTTTAATGCATTATCTTCATAATGACAATCGGTCGATCATCATTGAAATCTATAGCTTCAGAAAGGAAAGGGGCTTCAAATTTAGGTTCTTAAACTCAATACTGTTACATTTGTTCAATATGTACATCACATCTACGGCGCATGGAACCGATCAAAAAAGGCAGAAATGCATGAGAAATATTCTGGCATATGCTTGACAAAGTACAACGTAATGTGTTCAACCTCGCAGGAGGGTTTGGTTCCTGAAGCAGACGCCGCTCCAATACGTTACAAAATGCTCGATTAGAGACAAGTCTGGTGACAAAATAGGCGAAGGTAGCACAGTAACGTTGTGCAGCTTTAGATTAGCCCCAACATCACATGATATAAGAGGACTTTTGTCCTGTTGCAAAATAATGTTATACTGGCCTACGGATAAATAGAAGAACGTGATGACGTATGATTTCGTCAAGGCAGCGCACACCTGTTAAGTAATCTTCTACTATAACATAAGGGGTCCTTCCATCCGTTGTACTACTACCAAACCAACGACGCTGAGTTACATAAAAGTCACTGGTTCGTTCTTTAGGCCGATACACCTGAATACGACTTTCCCTGTTAGCATGTGAATGGCATATTAGACCAGTCTCTTTTGATAAATAGCTGATGTCTCCTGCACCATACTAAGACGTTAAAGCAAAACTGAGCAGAGAGCGGGACGTCAAAGGAGGATTTTTGTCTATGGCCATCTGTTTCGAACAGGTCTGGAACTAATCCGTCTAAATCCTGGAATGTTTCTAGTTGTCAAAGAAGGGCAACTTATTACGCAAACGCGACGTCGTTATATACATATCTTCCGATGTGACGTCCTGTTCATGGTCAGTTATGTACCATGTTCGTCGGTTGACAACACCATAACAGAGCATTTCATCTGATAAAATGTGACTCAAAACTGTCTTGTCACATCATTCTGAGATACACAGACTTAAAGCAGACGTGGCAAGGTCATGGTTAAATTATCTCCGGTAAAACAATGATATTATGAAATAGTGCATAAAATACAACCCATAAACGAAGCGTTTATACGTTGCTAGTTTCGAAACTCACATAAAACATGCACTGACCATTGAAATGTAACTAGATCAAAATTCTTCAAATTTCACCAATCAAATAAGCTTTCCGTTCCTCAAATTATTGAAAAATACTCAGTTTATTTTTCTGATTGTTTTTAAATCTACAGAATTTCTTTATTTTTTTCAGTTAGCACAGTGTATATCTAAAGGGCCGGTTTCCAAAACGGCCCCTTCTCTGATTCAAATTTCCTGTTGGTGGTGCATTGCCCATGCCGTTGTGGTCACATATCTATAAAGTATAAAGATTTAGGTCACTTGGTTTGTTTTTTATGGCTCCTCAAAGTTGTACCTTTCAGAAGCTGTCTAAGTGTTGATAAAATGTGCATGTTATGTAAAATATTAATGAAAATCTAATCAAATGATAGTAAAGAATACATTCATGGCATGATTGTGACAAAAAATCATGTTTCCATCGCGCCATTTGGCTGTTTTATGGAAGAAACAATCTCAAAAATGCCATTTTCGATGATAACATTTTAGACACAAAATCTGTGTTTTTTTAGAGAATACACCCTTTTTTGGGCGTTGGTTGCAAACCAATTTTTATCCTATTAGATAGTACGTAATATGCTATTGATGAGAGGAAAAAATCATCAAAATGTAAGTGGTGAAACATTTTCAAATGTTGGGTTGAATTAGCCTATGGTTGAATTGCCGATTTTCGACTTTCTTTAGATAATTAACAAAAAAAACGAGAGTATTTGCTCGTTATGTTGAGAATATGTACATAGATATGAAAAAAAGTGAGAGAAACACTTTTTCATAAAAAAATCCAAGATGGCTACTTCACAAGTCCCCGTGGTTGAAGACATTGGCTGACAAATAGACAGAACAACAAACAAAACGTGTTCCTTATGATTTTGGTTGGTTTTCGCATTTACGGGAGTGTTCATAGCTACTGGCGATTGTATAATACCTATATTTATAAGTTTGGTTAGTCACATGGTAACGGGGATCTTTCATATCGAGCCCCAAACATACTTTCGACATATGCACTCCGTTGCCGCATGGAAAACTATTTCAAGTTTTGTCGGAATTTCTTTACCTGTGGTTGTAATGGTCGAGGGTTTTCCACCGCCCTGTAATACCCAAGGGAGTACAAGATACTGGAAATGTGCGCACACATTCCCATCGTTCTCTCTGGGCACTGGCAGTAGTACTGGGGGCGGGTGAAACGGTGAACCGTATCCAAACGTTATATTTCGTTTGGCTTTTGTGTCGAGAATGTATTTGACATCGGAGAAGGTCTGGGGAGTGCTGGTTAAGCCACACCGCATAGTCTCCGTCATCACGTAAATGTTCGGTGATGTAACCAGGAGCCAGAGATATCTGATACGTTCCACACGTAATGGTTCTCAAGTAATCAAGATCGAGACGGGGAAACAGTACGGAAGATGCATTCATCTTGACAAACTCGGACCTTGCCCGTCTAGATAGAGCCGGATCTATCTTGACTCTCTGATCTAAACCATTCGGTGTTGTCAAACGGTCCTTCAATAGCCATTAGCCTATCTTTGGCATCTCAGAGATCTCTGGTAGATCGGTCCTCTAATACTATTCAGACAGGCTGTGACGGTTCGAAGCAAAGCCTCAATGACATTGATAAAGCTGTTAGACACCAGTTGCGTTCGGAAAAACGTCCAGTGTTTCAGACGACCATGATAGGATTCCAAAATCCACCTCCATTTGGTGATAGTTCTGTCAAGATTTACTTGGACGTCAGTCAGAATGTTGACTTTGACCGGGTTTCAGGTATGACGGCATGCTAGCATTGGGGCCAGAGGCTTCGAGAACTGGTAGGACATCTCTAAAACCTCGGTCAACGACAACGTTGTCGTCTGGTTGTAGCCAAGTAACTAGCTTGTCCATGACTTTTTTTGTAATTGTAGCATCATTTTCGCTGCCAGTGAATGGTCCTACGGTGTCCAGAATGTAGCCATCTGGTAAGGCGATGCTCATGAATTTGACATAGTTTCTCTTCTTCTGGCCACAGTAGGACATTCTCTGGAGCTTGTGGTC